TGATAGCTGAAGTCAGTGATGCAAACATGCTTTATGAGTGCAGTATGGATATGAGTTTCCACTTGTTTATTGGACTGTGCAAAATATTGGAATTAAAGTATTTTTGTAAAAAAAATAGGAGAGACTCATGTGTATACATAGTGTAGTAAATAAGCTAAACATTCTCTGTGTTTACAGCAGTGTTTGCAAGGAAATAGTCATACAGGGTGAACAGGCTTTGATGTATGCCCCTGCCTTCCCTGCCATTGACTTTTTTACTTGACATTGTCTCTTTGCTACAATGTAATGCAGTGGTGAGGAGGATCCAGGCACAATTGCATATACCATATGTAATCTACATTGCCATGGGGAAAGCAAACAGTGTTTTACTATTAGAAAATACTTAGTTTTTAATGAAATGGTAACAGTCTTTCCAAGTAAGAAAAACACAGTTCAAATGAAGACAGAATGAATTTGGCGAAAGTCAGGAATTCAGATTTCTGGTGAAAGCATTTGGGAATCATATCTGCCACCATGTAGTTGACTACTTCCCAGTATTTAATGATTTTTCTGGTGAGATCAGAGGTGATATTAGTAAATATGATTTTTAAATATTTTTCTAATTGTGTCAACATCTGGAAGATTTGCATAAAGTGAATCAATAGTTTACAAATGACCAGTCCAGGATGTAATAATGCATCAGGCACACTGATGATGGCTTTTAATGTTGAATATACAAAAATGATTTATTGATGTGGCTCCAGAATCCATATTGCAACAAACTTTAAAGTAGTTACCACTTGTTGAATTTGGTATCGTATCAAAAAACAATATCATAGTTACCTAAAATGTTTAAATTGTCCTCTTTTTTCCAATACCTGTGTGAACTGGGAGTATCCTTTTATACTGTAAACAAAGCAACATATTAAAATAAATACGGAAGCAAATATTAGACTCTCCTAAGCTGAATGTTAAAGTAATTTGTGTGTGTGTATATATATATAGATATAGTATAGATTACTATACTATATATATATAGTATGTGTATATATATATATAAAAAACAATGTAGTCTTTTCATTCAGTTTTTTTAATTTTGGGAAATAATTATTTTCATAAAATTTTTGTTGCATTTATAGAATTCTTGTTTTTAAAAGAGTTCACAAATATGTATAGTTTTTAATTTCCCAGTTTAAGTTCTAATATAGTCACTATCAGTAAATTAAACCAAAGCTTTGGGGCATTCCTCAGTTACCTTTTTAAGTATGTGTAAGGGATCTTGACACCAAAGAGTTTGTGAGTGACTGCTCTAGAGTTTACAACATTGATTCCCAAAGTGTGTTATACAGAACATTTGATCTGTGGGCCACTAATTCTAAAACATTTTAGTATTTAAACCAAAAGAGAGTTCATTTCTAGACTAAAGAATTATTTAGTGCCACCTTTTTAAAAAAATATATATATATAGTTGTTTAATCAGTGTTTCTTTGTTTCCTTTTTTGCATAGAAGAACTAGGGTATAGGCCAGAGGTGTGGGAGGTGAAAGGATTCACAAGAGACAGAGTGGGAAGTGGCACAGGCAGATTGACTGAAATACACTGCTGAGGGGAGCAGTGGGGGGTGAGTCAGGAGAGGTCTGCCCTAACACCCTGCCACGTGGGTTAGCTTCCTGGGGGGGGGGGGGGGGAGGGGGATGGAGCCAGCTGGTGCCAATAGCTTGATAGTCCTGAGACTTAACCCCTTGCGCCACCAGGGAGGCCCTCAGTAACCTTTTTGAAGGGCAGTATGTAATAGTTGATGCTTTTTAAAATATATATACACAGATCTTCCTCTACTTATGAAAAGATTACGTCCTGATTAATAAGTTGAAAGTATTATAAGTTGAAAATGCATTTAGAAACCTGGTTCCTTGATTCCTGTTGACATTGTTAGATGTCATCACCAGCCGATTTTCTGCAGCAGTGTCATGGCCAGTGAGCTCAGATTAGAAGCTTGTTTCCATGATTACACTCAGATAAACCTTGTGTTTTGGGAACAGGGGTGCTTATATAATATGCAGAGAAATAAGAACCTAGAAGCCACACAGATTTATATTTCTTCACTCACCTTAATTTAATTGTTAAACATTTATTAGTACTTCAGTACACATAAAATAGAATAATAATTAAAAAAGAAAAAAAATCATTTAATACACCTAAACCTGCCAAACACCCTGCAATTGCATGGCTGATCAGGAGCTGCATCTCACTTTGCTGCCAGCTAACTTTGCAAGAGAGTATAATATTGCATATTCTAGCCCAAGAAAAGTTGAAAATTCAAAATTTGGTTTCTACTCATTGTATATTACTTTCTTGCTGTTGTACTTTGTACTTTGATCGGAATTTTTTCAAGTTTTTTTAGAGACAGATTTTTACTAACTCACAAGATTGTATTGATCCAATAGGCCTCTTGATACTAGTTATATCAGGAGTTATTTTTGTAAATTTATGTGTCACAACTCCTTTCTTCCTGCTTTCAAGGACTTGAGGTCTCTCAATTTGGGGGTAGCTCGTAGAGACAGTCATCAGTGAACAGGTACTTGATTGGGCCCAGAGTGGGTTTTTTTAAGTGATACAGCCAAGATCAGTTGTAAAAATAACTGTAAATATTGCCTTTGAGCCCTTTGGGCTCCCATTTCAAAATGCCTTTCCTCCTTCCTGGGATAAGCATTCTACACAAAGTTGAAAGTTTTTTGTATTTAATGCAGTAGAAAGATAGCGTATCTCCTTGCTCTCCTGCCTGGAAAAGAGCTTTGGTTTTGGAATCAGAAGACCTGGTTTTTAGTGCCAGTTCTTCCACGAACTATGTTCTAAGAAGCAAAATTACCCTTCTAAACTTTCTTTCAGAGTTAAGCATGCATCTCAGCCAGTTTTTAGGCCTTACCTATCTTTTCACTTGAATCTATCCTGTTTATTCTTTAATCCATTGTAACAGCTCAAACAACAAAACCCTCCCAATTGCAATATACTGAGTGCATTCCCCTTCCCCATCCTTTTTAATTTTGACTCCTTTTGGAAATTACTCAATTTTCTAATTAAATTACATTTTTGGTAGTAAATATAGACTTATGTAAAGAAAACTCTTATCCCTTAATCTTAGCACTCAGAAATATACATTAGCATGTTCACTACCATTTATATATGTATATCTTAAAATTGGGATTATACTTATGTACACCACTGCTTTGTATCTTGTCTTTTGTTTTCATAACATTAGTACCATAAACAGTGAATTTTATAGCTGTATGGTTTTCTCATCATCTGGTTATCATATAATTTTATTTATTTTGTTTTTGTGATTTTAGGTTGCTTCTAATAAACCTATAAGTACAATGCATTTGTACCTTTGTGCATAAACCTATAAGTACAATGATTATTTTCTTTAAGACTTGGTCCCACTCTCCAAAACCTCTTTTCACTCTTGGTTTCCCATTTCCTGCCAGTCCTTTTTTCCACTCTTTCTTTCATAGGCTCCTTTTTATACCTGCCCTTTAGGTTTTGATTTTCTCCAGAGTTTCCTTTCACTGCTGTGAGCAATCTCACTTTCTGTCCCAGCTTCAGTCCTCACATAGTATCTGGTTTCCAGGGACAGGGCATATGTTTGTAGTGTGCTCCTGTCTTCTGCACACACTTGCATTTCTGTTTTCTCGGTTATCCCCTCCAAAATACCTGCAGGCACCTAACCGTGCAATCTGTATGTAATCTCCTTTTAGTCTTCCCTTTATTTAGCACATACTTGGCATGTTTTAGATGCTTTATTTTGTAAACAAAAGTATGTGAGACATGCAAGGATCCCTTAAGGGGTGCCAAGTGGGCAGAAAGGGTGGTAGGTAATGAGAGTGATGACAGCAAAATGACTGTGACCTTCCTTTCCCACCTCTCAGCTGCCTTTCCTCATCATGTCTTAATGTAAACCTGTCTCTATCCTTTTTGCCTTTTTAAATCTACACGAAAGTGATGCCTTTAGTAGCAAAACCTGAAACTTCTTACAGTGCTAATTACTCACAGCAAAAATAACCATGTTTTCTTGTGTATGTAAACAAGTGGTTATTGTTTCTGTGATATATTGAGAGGCACATTTTTTGCAATTTTAGTAAATACTTGTAACTTAACAGCAAAACATCACAGGTACATCAATCTTCCTTGAGTGTTAGGGTATTTCAGTCTATTTTCTCTGTCCCATTCTATTTGAATTTGTACTTTTTGAAAAGATGAGACCAGGATAGTTAGTGCTTATGTTGTTTTACAATTACTCTATAGTGTCTATATAGTAGATAGTTATTATAGCTTTTGGACTTGAACTTATACCTAAAATTCTCTTTTCTAGTCTGGTTATAATAACCAGTCTAGAAATATTTGTTGAATGATTAAAAAAGGGTAGATCCTTGCAAATTTTCATGTTTTAAAATAACAAAGGAAACAAAATTTGCTGTTTGAAAGAAAAGTAGAATAACCACATTAAATACAACCTGGTAAATAAGAGAAAAAACCCTACTCTTAATCTTACCTATCAAAATTGCCAATTGAATTTTTATATATGGTTTTCAAATTTGTGTTTATGTGGTTAGGTTACATATGCTGCTTGTTTCCACTTAACATGTTGTTTTATGACTTACTTTAAATGACTGCATAATAATTGGTCTGTTAGCTACATAATCCTGTTGTATGCAGTGCTTATAAAGAAGAATAGATGGTACATTGTTTCTAAAAAAATTGACTTAATGAAATATAGTTTAGTAAAGTAGAATTGCTTCTTACATGAATTTTTATAAGTAGAAGAATGATAGTCTTCCTGTAAGGTCTTTATTTTTAAACATATAAACTTGAAGCCCAAGAAAGTTGGTTATCAGTTGGGAATAATATGCCATTTATCAACTAAGTATTTTGGGGACGTTATAAACACAAGTTAGCTGCTTATTTGAATAGCGAAACATTGTCATAAATCTCGTTGTTAACACTGTGTTGTTGTTGTTGTTTTAATAGATTATGGAGCTTTGTGGTGCAACAAGACTTGGTTATTTTGGAAGAAGTCAATTCTATATTGCTTTGAAACTTGTAGCCGTTGCCCAGTCTGGTTTTCCTTTAAGAGTGGAAAGTATAAATACAGGTAAATATGGAATGAAAATAGACATCTAATCGTAACTGATGTCAAGTCAATGGAACTGTTGTGTCTTTCTGATTTTATAATGGCATTTGCGACTTTGAGAAAGGGTCATCATTTTGTTTATATCTGTCCTAATGCTGTTAGGTATGTACATATTTGATGACAATGTAAAGACATAAAATGGTGATTTCTCAGAATTCACTAAGTACTTAAAATTTAGATGAGTGATTCAATCAAGATAAATGATATATTATGGTAGCCTTATTTCCATCTTTTCTACTAAGTATAAAACAGAATTGTGCTTTTTGTTTTCTTGTTTGGGAAGGCTACGAAAGCACCATTTGAAGTTAGAAAGTATTAGTTAATAAAAACTTACTGATTGATAGACAATATTAAAATATTGGCAGACGAAAACCTACTTACTGGCAACTGCTTTACAGATGTCATCTGGGATAATTAGTTTTTCTGTTGGAGTCCAGTTAATGCAGTAGTAATGGAAATTCTGTAAAGGTAGGCATGTAAATGAGAGAGTTTTGTGGTTTTCATAGGGAAAGGGGAGAAAGAGAAAAATCTGAAATTCAGAATTTTTAAGTACCAGCTCATTTTATTAGTCAGCAGCAGGTTTTCTTCATGGACCTCTGGCCATACATACATAGTTCTTCTAAAGTTGAGCGTTTATATTCTTTTTAGTATTATTTGACATAAATACTGAGTAAGCTTAATGTTTCCTCTCTTTAATGTGAAGATTCTAAAGAGAAATGCAGGTTATTAGATAGTGGATGGAACTACACTTTTTTCTAAAAATTATTCTGCTGCTGTATTGTTTTAGTCTAAAAGTATGAGAAATGATTGATCTGCAGAGAAATTCTTAGCCTCCATCTCTCCTTTAAAAATTGAATGCACAATACCTGTCTGTAGGTGTGTCATAAGCCAGACTAAAGTGGATAGATATAAACCCTTTACTGTGTCCTTGGGAGGTGAGCAATAAGACATTTTCATTTCTGCCATGAAAATGTTTGTTCTCAAACTTAGTGACACTCTGTGGCTTATTTAGAGCTCTAATATTTCACTTCAGAGCATTAATGTGAGTAGAAACAGATTTCAGGATTAGCCTGAACTGAATTCAGATCCTATTTTCAGTTACTGTCAGTTACTGTGGGAGCTCAGAGCCTTGATTTCTTTACCTGTAAAGTGAGCAGTTTGCAACGTTGATGTGATTATGGGATGAGTTAATATAAAGTACACGCATGGGGCCAGACATGCAGTGGACCAGTAATACTGCTGTTGTTGTAACCCCTTATTTTTTGTGGTTAACAGTAAAGGACCTTCCTCTGCCAAGATTTGTTGCTTCAAAAAATGAACAGGAATCTCGCCATGCAGCCTCATATTCTTCAGATTCTGAAAGTCAAGGGTCTTACTCTGGTGTGATTCCCCCACCACCTGGCCGGGGGCAAGTGAAAAAGGGATCCGTAAGTCATGATACTGTCCAGCCTCGTACGTCTGCAGATCAGCAGGTAATCACTGCATGTAAATGTCATCAGTTGATTTCCTGTGTGTATGTTTACACTAAAACATTTATTAAGTGTGATAATAACGAAAATGCTACTGTAAATTTTTTATTTAAAAATAATTTATTTTCTAGGAACCTGCATCTCCAGTAGTTTCACCACAGCAGTCCCCACCAACTTCTCCACACACATGGAGGAAGCACAATCGTCATCCCAGTGGGGGTAATAGTGAGAGGCCTCTTGCAGGACCTGGTCCATTTTGGTCTCCCTTTGGTGAAGCACAATCAGGTATTTAGAAATTCTCTAGGAGTAAAAGTTATGTTTATTAAGGGTTGTAAATTGAAGGAAACTTGATACTTCTCTTTAAAAGTTTAAAAACCTGTAAGACCATTTTAATTATAAGTTAAACACCTTAAATAGAAGTTAAGTCTAGGGCCCTCCCTGGTGACACAAGGGGTTAAGACGCAACCTATGAAGCTAACTGCAGCCACTCCAGCACAAGTTCGATCCCCAGCCAGAGGTGACCAACGTGGCGCAGCAGACCCCTCCTGACTGGCCTGCTGCTCCCCTCAGCAGTGTATTTCAGTCACTCTGCCTGTTCTGTTCCTCACTCTGTCTCTGGTGAATTCTCTCACCACCCCTACACCTCTGGCCTGTACCCCAGTTCTTGTATGCATAAATAAAGTAAATCTTTAAAAAAAAAAAGTAGGTCTATTGTGAGTGTATATATATATATCACTTTGAACAGTGGTAATTGCATTTACTTTGTTGTGTTTATGGACACCAGATTCTCTGAAAGTTAAATGAATGAATGAATAATTTTCTAGGATTTTATATTTATATATATGTATATATGTACATTACATTAGTTTCAGTATTATCAAGGAAAGCACAATAATAAAAAAGATTTAAAGGAGATATAATTTTAAGTTAACAGAGATACCAATTTGGAAATTAGTGGTATTTCTTCAAAGTGAGTTTGAAAGAAAATTTTTATAGAGTGTGATGTGTTTTGTTTAAAATTCTAGTAACTTTTTTTCTTCAGAAGTAAGTCAGCTTTTTGTTTATTTTGCTCTTAGGTTCTTCTGCGGGTGACACAGTATGGTCAGGGCATTCTCCACCTCCACCTCAAGAAAACTGGGTCAGTTTTGCAGATACTCCACCAACCAGTACTCTTTTAATCATGCATCCTGCTTCTGTCCAGGTGTGACATTTTATTGGTATTGCATTTTTATTTGCTTCATTTCGAGTATTGCTGCAGTCATTGTTTTTATATTTTGCTGTTGCAAATTGTATAAATGCAAGTTCACTCTTTTAAAAAATATCTATCTGCTCTGTGCCTTTTCTTCAAGTCTGTTATCATTGTAATGTTTCTCTAAAAGTTTTGCTGATTTCTTTTCTAATGTCTTAGTAAAGTTACGATTTCTACATCTACAAATGTATTTGCTTGGCTTTCTTAGCACATTTTTCATAACTTTCTGTTGCTTACATATTGCTATCATTCTACACATTTATATAATTATTGTGCAAAAACATTCAGTAGTCTGATATAACAAGTATGTGGTTTGTTGATGAGTTTGTGAAGACTTCTTATATATTAAATCTCCACAAAAAAAGCAAGTTTTACTTTCAAAGATAAGTAACCTAGCAATCGTGGTCCATGTAATCATACAGATAGATACTGTACTGAGGAAAAAATGTTTCATTACAGGACCAGACAACAGTACGAACTGTAGCATCAGCTACAACTGCCAATGAAATTCGTAGGCAATCCAGTAGTTATGATGATCCCTGGAAAATAACAGATGAACAAAGACAGTATTATGTAAATCAATTTAAAACCATTCAGCCTGATCTAAACGGATTTATTCCAGGTGAGTTGTTAAAAACAAATTCTTCCAGATGGGACAGGACAAAGTCTCAATTTCGTAATCCCAAGGACATGATCTTATTTGGTCAGAGATCATAAAAGATAATTAATTCTCGAATTGTTTGTCTGAAAAGAGTTTATAATCACTGGAGATCAAAAACATGACATATGCCCTAACGTTAAGGATGCCTTTTTCCCCAATGAAAAAAGTCTCAAGACTAACCTCACATTTTATTCTTGGATCTCTATGTTCAGAATAACATTAAAGAACACTGTTTTAATATTACAGGATCTGCAGCTAAAGAGTTTTTTACAAAATCAAAACTTCCTATTCTTGAACTTTCTCATATTTGGTAAGTGTGATCTATCATTAGTTGGGTAATGTGGGTTGCTTCAAAGGAGTTTCTAGAAGGTAGAGTTTTAAACCTGAAAAAAATACACTGTGTTAGTTCTTTGAGAACCTTGAAAAGGTTATTCTAAGTAATACTTTACAATAATCAACTTCTTCCTTGCTCTCTAAAAAAAGAAATATAGCAGTACAGTAGTTCTTTAAAAAGTGCTAAAATTCTTTAAGCTCTATGAGCTTTTTTTTAAAGATTTATTTATTTATTTATACAAGCACTGGGTGCAGTCAGAAGCACGGGAGGGTAAGAGAATTCACTAGAGCCAGAGGGGAGAGCAGAGCAGGCAGACTGACGAAGTACACTGCTGAGGGGAGCAGCAGGAGAGGTCTGCGCGCCATGTGGGACCCTCACCCAGCCGCCAGGATCTAACCAGCGCTGCGGAGGCTGCGGGCAGCTTCACAACCCAGCGCTTAACCACTGCACCACTGGGGAGCTCCACTATGAGCTGTTTCTTGTGGCCAGTATAATGCATAGCAAAAACTTAGTTCGCTCATAAATGGTGTCATTTATTTCATTTGAGTTTTTACAGTTAGTAAGTCTTATACCAAACTATGAGCTTAAGGACAGTACATAACTCCCATTTAAATACAAACCAAGACTCAGAGAAGCTAAGTGTATTAGCAATTAAAACACAATTATAAATTACTTAAATTATTTAAAAACATTTTTTCCATTTTATATCACTATTAATTTGTTAATAGGGATCTTGACATAGATGGCTACAGTAAGAGGTAGGTAGAAAAATCAAGAACTAGCAGTGTATATATGATATTTATAGTTTAAGGTGGTAAATATAAACATGGTTGTTTATTCATCTAGGAAATAGAAGGACAGCAGAATGAAGCTGCTGAGCTTTTTTTTTTTGTATCAAGCCTTGTAATCTGTCAAATGCTTTAAAGCACACATGTAGAATTTTGATAACAATAAAAGTTTTTTAAAATTAGCTTATTAAATAAACCAGCTTTATCCTGTTTCTACAAATGAGTATGGGTTGAAGGTTATTTTATTTATTGGGGCTATTTTTCAACATTTTATTATGAGAATTTCAAGCCTACAGAAAAGTTTTAAAATGTCTGCTTTAAGCACCATATGCCCACTACCTATATTCTACAGTTTACATTGCTGTGTTTGCTTTATTATGCGTCTTCCCCTCCATGGGATTTTTTAAGTTATTGGTTGATAGCACTTTTTCTAGGAAAGGATTTCTCTTCCTTCTTTTGATACAGAAAGGGATCCAAAGCAGGATATGGTTATATTCAAAATAAGTTTATCTTCTAGGGAACTCTCAGACTTTGATAAAGATGGAGCATTGACACTGGATGAGTTTTGTGCTGCTTTTCATCTGGTAGTTGCTAGGAAGAATGGCTATGATTTACCAGAAAAGCTCCCAGAAAGCTTAATGCCCAAACTGATTGATTTGGAAGATTCAACAGGTAAGATTAGAAGCTGAAAGGATCTGATTGATGCCTTGATAAACATTAACACTTGAAGCAAAATCAAGATAACTGTTAAAGTTTACCTTTCAAGCTTAAATATTTCATGAAAAGCATGTAGATTTGATATCAGAGTAAGATGTACAGACTGAGCTTGAATTAATGGTTTGAGGTTAAGAATATATACCACTCTTTCACTATTTTGATACTTATGACTTGCTGAGATTTGAAGAACATTTTGGTGTCTTGTTTTTTGCTATCCTTTGATTGTGTTATATATTGTCTGATGTGGTAAAAGTAGCCTGTTTTCATTATCAGCATATTTCCATTTAATGCATCTTAGTGTATTGAATAGAAGTGCTTGATTATCATTAGATTTCTACTGTTCACAGCAAGCATTTTCCTTTTAAAAAACCAAACTCTCCTCTTCAGACTAGAGGAATCTGGAAATTTTGTGTTTGACGTAGATGATGTTATGTTTAAGGAATGCTTTTGTAAATGCTCATTGGTAGTTTTCTTTAAAAGGAAACAAGAATATGAGAGGTAAAAAAATGTTATTTTTCTGGAATTTTGAGTGAATAAACAATAATGTTAAATTCTTAAATAACTAATTAAAACTTAATTGCCTTCTGTTTTTGAATCTAAATCCTCTTGGATATTGAATTAGAGGGAATTTTATAATTTTAAAAGAAAAGCTAATACAATATGGCTCTCAAAAGGGCATTTATGTGTTAGTCAGTGTCTGTTTAACCCAGAAATGCATATAATGATTTTATTGTCTAAATTATACTCATGGAGTTATTTGTGTTATTACTACCACTAAAAGAGTAATCTCTTTGGAGTTAAGCATCTGAGTGTGCTTCCAGTTTTGCTAATTATTGTTGTGACCTTGGGCAAGTTCTAAACATTTATTTACTCTACTTTTTCCTGTTTCTCCACTTGAAATGTGAATTTAATGCCATTCATATTTCATGACCTGAATTATATACTGATCTTTTATCAGGCAGTGAGTTGATTAAAAAATCCTAGCATTTTAGGTAGTTTAAGCATCATTTAATCTTGAACATGAGCTGAAAGCTAAGATTTGTATTAGGTAATTTTCCTTTAGAGTACTTTGATTTATCTAGTTAAATAAACAATGAATTTGTTCATTGAGTTTATTTGATAGTAACCAAAAGAGAAGAAATTGTAGTAGCTCCAGAATTGCTGTATCTAGCCTTGATTTAAAAATTGGGCCTTGACTACACTAGAGATTTTATTGACTCTAATCCTGTAAAACTGATACCATATTAATGCAAGAAAATAAGTTAGGCTTATTCCATCATTTCCTAGAGACTTGTCTGATTCTCTTACCTCTTACATTCAGATTGGTTAGCCTGGCTTTTCCATGTAGTCAGTGGGGTTTTGCTTCTTTTATTTCACTTAAATAAAATCTGTTTGTTTGTAAACTTGATGTGCCTGAATTTTAAGGTTGGTGATGGAAGTTCTTTTTCTGAGCATTTGTCTGTTTAACCTGTAGCAAAGAGAAACTGTACAAATCATATATATATCTATGTGCTATTGCTCCAGCTGTGATTTTATTTTTTTATTATTTTTTTAAAGACTTATTTATTTATGCATACCAGAGCTGGGGTACAGGCCAGAGATGCAGGAGGTGAGAGGATTCACTAGAGACAGAGTGGGGAACAGAACAGCAGACTGACTGAAATACACTGCTGAAGGGAGCAGCGGGCAAGACGTGAGAGGTCTGCTGCGCCATGTGGGTTTCTCTCTGGCCGGCCAGTGATTGAACTTGTGCTGCAGAGGCTTCCAGCACTAATTGCTTCATAGTGCAGTGCTTAACCCCTTGCGCCACCAGGGAGGCCCCCGGCTTGATTTTAAAGGTATCAGAGGTTCAGGTGTTTTTTTTTTTACCCCCACTCCAACATAATATTATATGGTTTGTGACGAAATTTTTTTACAAATGTTCTAACTGTACAATATTAGATACAAATCTGCTTTGTTAACTTATAAATTTGACATCTTTCCCTTTTTTCTTTATACTCATTTTCATGATTTTCTTTGTTTTGAAGACAAAGCCCCAATTAAGTTTGTTCTCTTTATGAAATTTTAGTCCTATATAAAGAAGATAAAATGGGTTTTTCGTTTTTAGTTCTTTTTGATATTGGAACCTCTTATATACCTGTAGATATTATTTCTTGAAGTAAAATAACTGAATCAAATAATAGTTTTGATAAAATGTTCATCAGTACATCAGAAAAACCTAGAAAAACCTAACGGGAGTGAGTACTCATTCATTTTTTGGTTTTCAAACCTTGTCAGACACACTTTTTCTTTTTTTTTTAAAGATTTATTTATTCATGCATACAAGAAATGGGGTACAGGCCAGATGTGCAAGAGGGTGAGAAGATTCACCAGAGACAGAGCGGGCAACAGAACAGGCAGATTGACTGAAACACACTGCGGGAGGGGAGCAGCCGGCAAGACAGGAGAGGTCTGCTGCACTGCAGAGGCTGCAGACAGCTCCACGGTGCTGTATTCAACCGCATGCACCACCAGGGAGGCCCTACACTTTTATTTTTAATCTTTGGTTTTAATTTAAAACTTAGAGACTTCTACATAGACCTTCTAAAGTCTACTTACGTAGTGTTCATTCTGTGACGTGTTGGGGAGAAGTGAAATTAATTTTGGAAATAGAATATAGGGGTTTGGTTTTTTTTTTTTTTTTTTTTTTTTTTTTTGGTTTTTATTTATTTGTTTGTTTGTTTGTTTGTTTATACAAGCACTGGGTACAGTCAGAAGCCCGGGAGGGTGAGAGAATTCACCAGAGCCAGAGCGGGGAACAGAGCAGGCAGATTGATGAGGTACACTGCTGAGGGGAGCAGCAAGCGGCAGGAGAGGTCTGCGCGCCATGTGGGACCCTCGCCCGGCGGCCGGGGATCGAACCGGTGCTGCAGAGGCTGCGCTCAACCTTTGCGCCCAACCTCTGCGCCACTGGGGAGGCCCTAGAATAGAGTTTTTGATATGTATAATATCAATGAAGACAAAACATACATATATATCTTAAGTCTTTAATTACTTTCTGCATATGCACTGCTTATTCCAAAGGTATCCTTTATGGTTTTTGTTGAAGACTTAAAATTATCCAAACCTGTTTATTTTTTATTTTAAATAGTTTTATTGTAAGAATAATATTTGTACTTCAAATAAATATAAAGATACAGTTGTTTTTGCTTTGATGAAACCATTAAATGAGATTGAAACCTTGAATCTTCATTATTGAGGAACTCTCCCTAGATTTGTTTTGCCATATAAAAGCAAATTAAGTTTTAAATGATCAGATTTTAGGGAATGTTCATATTGCTATAAGATCAGTAAGAGATACAGTCATTTTTTAAACAGTTTTTTAGTATGATGAATATAATACTAAGAAAATAACAGACGTTTAGGATATATAGGTTATAAACCTAAAATAAAACTAAAGCTTTTTAGGAAATAGTTTATTCCACAGGTAAACTATACTGAGCTGAATCAATAAACTTTTCAGAATCTTTGGAGGCTTAAAAGGACAAAAACTGCTGACAGTGTTTTTATTTTCTAGTGTGAGCCTGAAAATGTGGTTTGCACATATTATCATCACTAACTAAATGTAGATTGACTGTCAGCAGTGTGATCACACTGGTTGTGTCTTCCAGCACACTTTCATCCATGGGAATACTTCTTGCATAAAAGCCCTTTTGGGGTTGACTTTAACAAATAATTTAGGCTCATGCTCTTCTTTTTCAGCCCTGATGCTCTGATGATGTCAGGGGCAGAGCAGAACCCTCAGGAGGGAGGCAGGGTTGACTCAGTGTTCCAGCAGGAGGCTAGGTTGGAACACTGCATCAGGTAAGAGTAAAACTGTCCCCCTGCCTCCCTAAAGATACAGTCTTAAAGACTAAGTGTTGTGGGGGGTATGAAGTTCTTTGTTTGAACATTTATAGGAAGCAAAATTGAAGGAGGTGCAGTTTATTTACAGATTAAATGCTTCTCAGATTTATGACTATTAGTTTCTACTTTATTTAAAGATAACAATAATAGACATATTAGTAGAGATATTTGTAGGGAAATAACTTCATCAATTTAATAATTTAAAAAATTTTAAAATTTAAATTTTTAAAAAATTTTTCATAGGGCCTCCCCTGGTGGCGCAGTGGTTCAGCGCTGGGCTGCGAGGCTGCCCGCAGCCTCTGCAGCACCGGTTCCTTCCCTGGCTGCCGGCGAGGGTCCCACAAAAAAAAAAAAAAAAAATTCATATTAAAAATTATGAAAAGAGTGGAATTCTTTTACATTTTTGCAGAACTCTTTACTATCTGGCTTAAAAAAGATAACTAGATTTTCATGTTGGCTTCTGCATCCAGTCTGTTGGATGTTTTTTTAAAAAAGATCTATTTATTAATGCATACAAGAGCTGGGGTACAGGCCAGAGGTGTGGAGGGTAAAAGGATTTACCAGTGACAGAGTAGGGAACAGAACAGGCAGATTGACCAAAGTACACTGCTGAGGGGAGCACGGGTGAGTCAGGAGAAGTCTGCTGCGCCATGTGGGGTGCTCCCTGGCCGGCCAGGGGATCGAACTCAGCTTCATAGGTTGTGTCTTAACACCTTGCGCCACCAGGGAGGCCCAGGATATGTTTTGTTTAAGATAAATCAGGAATCAGCAAAGTAAGCACCGAGGACCAAATCCAGTCTACTATTTTTTTTTATAAACCACAAATGTATTTTTCATTTTTAATTGTTGGAAAAAATTTTAAAAAGAACACTTCATGGAACGTAATTTATATGAAATTAAAATGTCAATGTCCATAAATAAAATTTTGATGTTACACAGCCACGGTCATTCCCTTAGAAATTATATGTAGTTGCTTTTGCATTTTGACAGCAGTATTGAATAGCTGAGAGGCTGTGTAGCCTGCACAGCCTAAAATATTTATTATCTGGCCCTTTGTAGAAAAAGATTGTCATTCCTTAAAGCGTATGAAGAAAATTTGGCCTCACATAGTAAAAGTACTGTTTTCAGATAATTATGTATATTCATTGGTACTGCATCAAAACTCAACAGATGGTAATTTTTTAAAGGTTAGTTGCAATATGAAATCAAACCATGTTAATGAATTGCTTGTACTGTTATATTAAAATTCATAGATCTGTTTTACACTTTGAATGAATCTCTTGCCCATGCATGGTTTTATAACATAACTCATTATGTCTAAAATAATATTTCACTGAAATACACAGATCCAAATCTTGGCACATTTTATTACAAAAAGCATACTTGTTAACATTACGACCTATCTAATCAAAGATATCTTTAAGTTCTAGGAAGCTCTTGAGATTATGGACATATATAAACATTTTCCAAAATTTGATTTTCACTTGAAAACTTGACTGTTATTAGTAACAAATACTGAAAACAGTTGTCTTGTTTGAAGTGGAAATTCATTTTTGAGAAAATGCTTGCCTAATACCCAAAATTGAATAATTATAGTTTATTGACTGTTCTTTCAGAAAAAACTTGTGTTCCATGAAAAAAGTGACCTTTTCAGATGACAGGTGAATCTCTCAATACTTTTCCTTGAGACAACCATTGTCTTTTGATAGGAAACATAAGTGCTTTATGCATATTTCCCATTTTGGCACAAAAAAGTATTTAAAAGAATGTTTTCAGGACTGAGATTTACTAAAATATTATTTTTACCCCTTGTGAACATTCCTCAGTGAAATTTCTACACATATTTATATTTATTTTAACTGACATATGTGGGGATGGTGAATATTTGACTGTTGGTATATTTTGGTTCCTCTGTCTTGATTCTCACTGATAAGCAAGTAGTTTCACCCAACTGTTGTTCTTGCACCATCAGTGCAGATGCCAGCCAGGTGAAAAGGCATTATTATTACTATACTACTGACACTACTACTACTATACTACTATTGATACTACAGAGATCATTTTGACTTTTCAGACCTCCTAAAAGAGACCTGGGGTGTCCCTAAAGTCTGTGGATCACAGTTTAGGAATGGCTACTCTAGGACGGTAACTGTTAAAATACTGTATTGGAATAATAGTGAAATTTAAGTACAAAGGTGTAACATTTCGATTCTCAGCTTCAAGAGGCTGGCCCTGCAGTTGCTTTGTACTGGTAGAGCAAAGAGGTTCCCATAGTCTACCCCAAATTGTAACTGCCTGAGATGGGGCAGGGTACAGTGGCTCTAAATTTGCCATTTGAAGGTGTCATGAGAATGGTGGTCTGGAAAACCAAACCAGGTACCAAGTTCTCCGTAACGTGACATTTGAAATTTAAGTAATACAGTTGAACTTAAATAGGTTGTGTTGAAATTTATCCTTTAGCTAATGTTATTTCAGTTCTCCTTATTTTTCTTTAATACCTACTTTGTAAGATCTCTTAAAGACACTTCTTCATTCACTAACAGTTTCACTTTCAATAAACTTTCACATTTATAATTTGAAATTTATAATTTCAATTTATAACCATTATCTGCCTTTTCTTAACTTCCATTCCCATTGCTTTCATAAGGAAAAAATTCCACAATTTTTGTTCCACAAACTATCCCCGTAAGGAATTTGCTCCTACTATTTATCATAAATAAGTTTTACTCTAAGAAGTTTGAGTTAGGAGGTCTTCAACATAGAAAATTATCTGAAGCCTTTTTTTCATCTTACTGGTTCTATATCATTCTGAAACTTTTCTTGAGAAAGGAGTAGGGTTAAGAAAGAAATAACAATAATTCCTGACTTTGCAAAACAAAAATTTATATATGATGCTGGATTGCAAATTAGAACTTGCAGTGTGAATTGACCATAAAGAAGTAAGTCGGGATAAGTAAAGGGGAATTATTTTCAGATACTCATGTAGCAGAATAAGGTGAAATTACCAATAGTTAATTTCAGTTTAGGAAAATAATAGTAAAGAATAAATTTAAATGAACAACAGAAAAACAATTCAATAAGTATGTGAGCGTCTAGTATATATTAGATCCTTTGTTAAGCATGAAAGATGTTACGGATTTATTTATGAACAGATTGGGAGGGTAAAACCTACAGATTACTAAGGTATTATTTGACTGCCTGTTTAGGAATCTGAAGGATAGTGTGTAAATGGCAAAAGTTGTTCTTTCTGATGGAGAAACTTGCTGTTATTTTATTCAACTTGCCCATGGTCAAACAATGAGATAGTAACAGATACTAGAACCATATTTTTGACACAGTTTCTGAACAGATTATGCATATTTGCTGTTCATTTGGCAATTACTGTAATTTTCAGACAGATTATATTCAGTACCATGTAAAATTTGGGGAAATTGGAATGAGAATTCACTCTTGAAAGTGCTTTCGTTTTTTAAATTGTAATGTAAGAAACATTTTCAGTTAAAACTTAATTAGTTAAAAGTAGAATATGATACCACATAATACTTTGGAAAAAGAAAAACACTTGGAAATCATGTCATGGACTTGTATTATTCAGTTAAATCTACAGGTGCCATTGAACCTAGTGATAAATGTTTGTATCCTATAGCTGCATTGACTTTGCTTTGTGTTCATGCCTGGGGTGCTTTCTTTCCTTTTACTGTCTGCCTTGCAAGTATGTCCTGCTTTTTGATAATAAGGGAGACTGTTACCAAACAGTCTATGGTAGAGAAAATGTGAGTAAATCAGCAGTTCCCAAAGTACATTCCAAGGGAATATTGAAGGATTTTATTTGATTCAAAATGGTTTGTGTTAGGGAAAAGCTGATTTAAACACAGTTTATTTCCTCTCTAATATTCCAGGTCTTTGATAAACAAATGTGCATGGGTGTCCTCCAAGAGGAAATTACAGAATCTCCAAATTTGTTTGAACAGAAATCTAATTTTTCAAAGCACCTTAGTGATTAATAGTCCATGAAATGCACTTCGGAAACTGGTACAGATCTGTCTTCAGTTACAGGTGGAGATAAATATTTGTGTCCTGTAGCCTCATTGACTTTGCTTCAAAGTGTTTGACCTTTTGCATTATTGTTAAATATTACACTCCTTTTCCTATGTATTCATAACTAGATTTTATTTCATGGAAAACAGGTAGACAATAAATAGTAGGAATTGTCTGATTGCTAACATGTTTATTTTGGGGATATGAGGAGAAGAAATTCACAATATAATTTGCAGCTCGTGAAGACCTTCTGTTAGGCTTTTTAAAATAAGTATTCCTAAACTAAAATATATTGTTTATAGAGAATTTCTTTATTTTTAAATTGCAGATGTTGGGGATCAGCAAGGTGAGGTAGGTTATTCAGGCTCTCCTGCAGAAGCACCTCCAAGCAAGTCACCATCAATGCCATCACTAAACCAGACTTGGCCTGAGCTGAATCAAAGCAGTGAGGTTAGCAATCCTTCCCTTTTCTTTTACTAATGTTAACTCTTTTAAGGTAAGAAATTCCAAACAAAATAATTTCAGCATATAACCCTTCCAGCATGCATTTAGAGTTGAGAAAACATACCTAACATCACAGTGATAAATGTAATTAATGTGACTCTTTGAGGTTTTCAGAGTACTTTTTTGTGTGTGTATATATATGTATATATATATATACACTATCATTTGATTTTTCATTCCTACTAAGTCTTTGAGTTAGACATGGCATATGCGTGAAGTTAATAATCAAAGGGGTGAATATCTTGAGCAAGATATCTCATAGCCAGTGAGGAATAAGAGCTAAGATTTGAACACAAGTCATTTAATATTCATTCATCTGCCATACCCACTACTTCACACTGCATTCTCATTCCAGTAATCAATCAATGGATATAATAATGTATTTGTAATCTTAGCATTATGAGATTTCATCTTTCCACATGAAATAGTGTTTTCTACAACCCAAGCTATTTATAATAATTCTGCTTAATTCAATACAAAATGGAATTATTTAACCCTTATTAAACGCAGTGGTTTAAAGAGATCAAGCACAGCATGCAAAACAGAATTTGAGACAAATGAATTGCATGTCTCCTCCTCCCCCCTTTACCTTCATTATATGAAACAGTAAAAAGTAGGGCCTCTCTGCTTAGAATAAGGGGAGAGGGCCTGAGTTCTACCTCCCCAAAGCACTCCTGTGACGCCTTTTAAACCTTAGTGCTCCATAGACCTCCATTTGAAAAACACTGCTCTGGCCTGTTAGGGTGTTCTTCATGAACAAGATACATTTTTTTTTCCTTTCAGTTTTTGGTATCAGTTTTAATTAGCTACAAATCTGAGAGTTTGTTCACTTTCAGGGAAAAATTCTAAGCTTCTGTGCTTTTCACAATATTTAAAGCCAGAAAAGTGCTGGATAAAGAGACACTAATTAATTTTGTACTGTTGAAAAGCAAGGGAACTGGCAGATTTAAGGTACTTGCTGCTACATCAGAACATTATATCATCCATCATACCATCAGATATAAAACCCTATATCTTTATAAGCTTTTTGAAAGGGAGAAATTAAACCTGGGAGGAATTTACTAGTAGAGAGGCTTTATAGAGGACAGAGTCAGTGTTCTTGAAACCACTTATTCCCACTGCATTTATTCATTTCTATCATTTTGAAAGCAATAAGAGATTTCAAAAAGTATTTTCATTTCATTGGTATCAATTCATAAATAAAGCAATTCTTTGTAAAGCATCTCAATTTTAAAGACAATCTGTTTAAAATAAAATCATGTGTAGTCATTAAAGACTAGGAATATGTTTCTTCCAAATTCTGACCTCAGTAGTTGGATTTTCCGTCAATATTCCTAGCAAGTTTTATTTTGTAGTATTTGGTAATAAGATCATGAATTCATAATTTTTAAAATATGCTTGGAAAAAAGCCAAATATAAATAAAACTAACTTTGATTTTGAGATATTTGTAAAAAAAGATCTCATTAGGGTTTGGAATTTTAATTATATTTTAATTTTCTGCCACAAAGCACTAATATTAACAAATATTCAGCACCTGCAATACAGATGAGGCACTGTAGAGGATGAACTAATAATACTAATAATCCCTAACATTTATTCGGCATTTTTGATATGCCAGTTCCATTCACAAATTCTTTACATTTATTAACTCCTGAAATCCTCATAACAATCCTATAATGTAGGTATTGCTTCAGATGAAACTGAGGCAGAGAAGTTAAATAATTTTCCTAAATCTGTACGCCTATGCTCTTAACCATTATGCTAAAGTTACAACTATGAGTCTCTCTGCTCTCCAGCTGGCTTATATACAATCTTGTGAAACCAACTAAAACTTCATGCCACCAGATAAATAAAATGCCTTCTCTTTGGCAAAAAATCTGTTGCATCTCAGCTTTTCTGCAGTCAGATAATTAGAATTTTTAAAAACCCTTCTGTACCCATGCAAGAATAATTACTGAAGAAATTATATTAACAAATATTGTTAAGTCACTTCCCTGAAGTGCTGTCCCATGATAAAAGCTAATTATTGTAGACTTTATTCAAGAAACACTTTAATGCCTCAGTATTAGTATATCTTAATTTTCATGATTTTAAAACTAATCTGTAGCTAAGCTGTGGAATAATTATTAGCCATTTGTAAACAGTTTTCATCAATGTGTTCATTTGCTAATATTTAATTTCTACCTGTTTTCTCAAATTGAACATCACTGTTTTAAATAGTAAGTCGAACTTTGAAGCATAAAAATGTATACTTTTATAAAAAGAAGATTTTGGTTAATGGGATAGATGTGTCTGTGTGTAAACATTTGTGTGTATATATTGTATACGTGTAGATGTTTTTTCTCTTAAAGGATAACTGATAATTCTTAATCAAATTTTAATGATAATTTTAAGAGTTTTGATATAAAAATCCTATTATTAGTGATTTCCAAAACGAATGGAATATACTAAAATTAATACTTTTATCATTCCACCTATATTGAAGGAGGCATATTTGTGTGTCTCTTTTAGAGGAATAGTATTTCATATCAAAACACATCTTCTGTATATAACACACATTCAGATGCTTGATTTGCTCTCATTGTGGCCGTACTCTGATTTTTCTAGCATGGGGTGGGAGGTGGGTGCCTGACTGGCAGTTCTGTCTTGTGGTCTGGCATGGCCCTGTTTGTAGTGCTGATTGCAGGGGTTGACTTGCTACAGATTGACATAAGCTCAAACATATATTAATTCCAGAATCTTTGCATTTTATCAATTATATTTTATTAAATATTTATACATAAGTATAAAATATGTGCACATACATAATAGAATCACCTTTCAGGGGTCGCACTGGCAAGTCACACTGACTTGCTTTGTTTTGACCAAAAATTCATTAGATTCATTAGCGTCACCAAATCAGTACACTAACGTTAGAATTTTTTTAAAAAGATTCGGAATTATTCTTTCTCTGGTCAAGACAAACGCCTTTATTTACTTTGTCATCATTCATAACACTTAGACTCTGTTTCTGTATTATGTTTTGAGTTTCAATTCTGTCAGACTTCAGTCTCTTATAGAGATTGCAACAAATTTTTGCTATACGTTTGATTGTGAAGCCACTCATCTTCCATTACAAGATGACCCAGCATAGGCAAGTATTCAATGAAGGAAAAATAAAAATTATGGAATTTTATCAGGCCTATCAAACACAACTTGCAGTGCAACCTCTGAATTACTTTGCTAAATCTTCTCCAGTGATCTTTTATTCCCTCTTTCTCATCATGCTGACTTGTCTCTCCTCTGTCTGTTCAGCAGTGGGAGACATTTAGTGAACGCTCTTCAAGCTCACAAACTCTGACCCAATTTGATTCTAACATTGCACCAGCTGATCCTGTAAGTCAATCACTTAGCTTGCTTGTTTGAAATTAATTTTATTAACCCAAATTTCCATTCATTATGGTTTTTAGCTGATATGCATGATTCAGTGGAGTGCTTAGAGGGAAAAACAGTTGGCAGGCTTTTAAATTTTTGTGTGCTTAATGGTGGAAAGAACATTTTTTTTTTATCATTCTTTGTATTTTCTAGTTATTCTGGTGAGAAAATTTATGTTTTTAAAAATCGTACGTGTCTAAAATAGCATTTTGTTATAATTGATTTAGTTGACCTTGTTTTCATTTGCTAATTAAGTGTATGTTTTATTAAACATATACTGCTGATTTCAGTGAAGTAACAGTAAATACTATTTTATATGTATACATATACATTGTGTAGTATGTACTTTGTATGTTAAATATGCAATGTCATCTTATTTTAATAATATAATTGGTACTGCTTTGACTTAATTAGTATGTTGAATTCTGTTAAAGAGAATCAGATTCAGCAAAACAGATTCAGAGTTGTTGGTCAAAGATTCCCATTGTGCGAAGGAACCTGTCTTGTCTTCCTGTGGTTCAGTGTGTTGCTTTGAAAAATGCTACAAAGTTCACATCCTGATTTAAAAATAAATTCTATCCCATTAGACTTAATTTTGTACTTGCCCCACCTTGTCCACCTCAAACGATTTGAGATCTTCAGACCTTGGCTTTTAGTCATTCTTCTCACTGTTCACTCCAGCTTTATTTTTAATTTTTTTAAAAGAAATTTTGCTAATAATCCCCTTTCAAAAAGAAAAGAGGAAGTAGGTAGGAAGAAAAGGGTAAAGATAGGATTTTATTCAATGAGTTGAGTGGCAAGATAGGGAGAAAGTGAGAAAAGGCATTCTTTCTAGATCTAAGACACAACCAACATTTATTAATTCATTACAAAAAATAGTCTTGTTATTTAAAGTGAATTTGAGAGAAGTGGCATTTAAAGATAATGTTATATCTTCAATAGTTTAAATGACTGGATCTTGGTGTGTTTTATTATTTAAAAGGATTTATATCTATTTGAAACATAGAGAATGCTATTATCTTGAATTCAAACAGGAGTATATGGAAGTTTAAGTGTCTTTAAATAGTGCATTAATTATTTAAGGATGAATAATAAGTCAGTCATCTATGCCTTTTGCTTGCTGTTTTGAGAGCATTAATCTTTGATTTTAATTTCTGAAAAATGAAGAAATAAAATGGTAACATAATTTTTGCTGCACTAGCAGTTTTTATTTTAAGTTTTTGTTTTTAGAGATTTATTCATTTATGCATACAAGAGATGGGGTATAGGCCAGAGCTGTGGGGGGGGGGGTGAGAGGATTCACCAGAGACAGAGTGAGGAGCAGAACAGGCAGATCTACTGAAATACACTGCTGACGGGAGCAGCAGGTGATACAGGAAAGGTCTACTGCACCATGTGGGTCACCTCCCTGGCCAGCCAGGGGTCAAACTCATCCTGCAATAGCTGGCGATAGCTTGGTAGTGCTGTTTTTAACCCCTGTACCACCAGAGAGACTCCTCACTAGCAGATTTAAGGTCTCTTGGAAAGTGATAATACTGTAAATGCAAAGAAAGTGTTACCTTAGCTCAAAGTTTTAATTCTCCTTATTAGTCTTATCTCCTACTTATAGGGTCATTTAAAGTACTTAATAAAAGTACTTCATTGGAAAAGAAAACTTAATATGGCAATAGGGGAGCTAATTTATTCTCTAACCCTTAAGAAAGTGAAAATAATCATTCAGTGTTATGATTCTTTTTAAATTTATTTATTTATACATACAAGAACTGGGGTGCAGGCCAAAGGTGCAGGAGTAAGAGGATTCACCAGAGACAGTGTGGAGCAGGACAGACAGATCCACAGAAATACACTGTTGAGGAGAGCAGCGGATGAGACAGGAGAGGTCTGCTGGGCCATGTGGGTCACCTCCCTGGCTCGGGATCAAACTCATGCTGCAGTGGCTGGTGAATCTCATCTTTGTTCCCCAACAGCAATCTCAGTTTAACCTTAGGAGAATTCCCTACTCTCACTTGAAGTCTAAGTTTCTTAACTTTCATTTAAAATTTACTTAACGTACATCACCTGTCTATAGAACACAGCTGTAGCCACAATCTGAAATGACATTTTGCAAGGCTTGTATAAACAAGGATTTTGTAAGTAAGTAATTAGGGTCTATTTAAATGAGAAGAGAATCACCTTGGGGGGAAAAATACAGTTCTAATAGGAGTTTAGTCTTGGAAACATTTAATGAAATATTTTTTAAAAGCTAAAATTTGATAATTAGCCATTTGCTCAATAAAGTGAATGTATGAAAAGCTCCACACTGTTCTGTATAGAGATAGCTACCACATGGTGCAGTGACCTCACATGCAGACTGAGATGGTTAATTATGAGGCTTCCATAATTTTGATGAGATTGAGTTTCCAATTATCTCATTTCCAGAAACTTGATTATTTTGTTAAACTGCTTATCAGTTAATAGCTTTTGGTCGAATCTATTTTGGCTAGGAAATTCTAGAAATGTAATGTAGTCGTCTTTGCCATGGTTTGTGCCTGATCTTGAGTATTGTAAAACTTCTGAGTAATTTATAGTATAAAAAGACTTAGTTTGACCACTGATTATGCCCACCCAACTCACCTCGTTTAGTGGAGCCCCCTTTTAGGACCCGTGTTAGTCTCTCAAAATACAAGATGCCAAAAACTAAATTCCAGTTTTAAGTAGTACACAGTTTAATTGTTATAAGTTGGTATTTGTAATATACCTAATTGTATATTATCCTATAGAGCCTTGGTCCAAACTGGTCAGAGACCTGTGGGCTAACTCAGCCCAGTTTATTAGGGAAAGTTTTTCACAAAGTTGTTATATTTGCGTGGTGAGTCTTGAATGAAAGTACAAATTGACAGTGTGGACAAAGGAATGGGTGATTAGGGGTGGGTTTCCTGTTTGGGTGATTTTAATAGGTAGAGGAAAGTGAGCCGAACCTGCAGTCAATTTTTATGCTTTTTTTTTTTTTTTCTCTTTTTCAAAATTCAGGAACACTAAATTTGAAACAAATAAGTGTTACTTTGTCATCTTGTGGCTCAGGACTCAAGGCTTCTGGGCATTCTTGGTTCTTTATTTGGGTATTGAAATGCGTCAGGTCAAAGCTCTATTCTGTTGCATATCACAGTCACAAATAGAGCTTCTGATGTACTGGTCTGAGATTAGGCCTGATCACCTGTGGAAAACACATCAAAAAATTGCCTTATTCTACCTGCTGCAGAATCTGCTGGGCTAAATCTATTTCAGGCTTATAACAAACAGTAACAGTAAGACTGAAGTAAGCTAGAAAACTGATTTGTTTGTATAGAGACTTGGGCAACCTTATTTGGCAGAATAGGGTGCTTACGATTTTGTTTTCTTGGAGTTATTATTATGACTTACATTTATTGCATGGAAATACATGAAAAGCTGCTTAATATTTCCAGCTGTTAGAAACTATAAATCTGATTTTATATATACACAAATAGCATATATTAGATGAGTATTATGAATTAAAGCATCTAGTAAATTGTCCTTGCTTGTTTTTTCCTAGTTTGTTTTGGGTTTGGAATAAGATCCTATTGTCTCATGAACTGTCATTTTTTTCTCCTTTGATCATGCCTTGTAATAAATTCTGATTCTCAAAGTTATTTCTGTTATTAAAATTGTATGTTAAGAAATTAGTGTTATTTCTAAAGCCACATTTATTTAAACATAGCATCTTAACTGCAAGTGACTTATGATGTGAGAAAGCTAAACTTTTACCAATATATATCATGTTCATCTTTTTCAATATAAGTTTCAAGTTATAGGGGAAATATTAGTTTAGGTTGATTTAAGAACTCTGTTCAGAATCTCACTAATATGGGGATCGGAAATAACTATGAATGGATTTGTCAGTATAAATGCAGTAAGGAATTGACTTACTGTTCAATTTTAGAAATTGTGAAAGCTAAGGAGGCCTGTTAAAAAAGAGATGGTATGTTAGAACTTAACTGGCTAGAGCAGAGACTTGGTGTTTCTCCGTATAGTCCCCAAAACTGTCTGTCTTAAAGGAAAGGTCCTTATCCTTCACTAAAAATTACTTAACTCATCACAAGATAACCGAAATTTAAGAATCTCAAGTTCAGTCTCTAGCAGCAGCAGCACATACAAAATATGAACTGTGTCCTCATAGATGGAGCTTAGCGTTATTTCTCACTTGGTCTACCGTTCTTTAAGCCAAATACTTGATTGTTTGCTAGTTCCTCCCCTGGGAGGCTCAGCTCCCAGGGCCAGGCCTACCTGTGTACCCTTCTCTTTTCGTTCCCTTTAAAGTCTATTCTATCAGCTCCTTGATTGCTCTAACTAAACTTGTTTTCATGAAGCTTAGGAATGTCGGATATATTAATTATGAGAAAGTTTTAAGAACAGTTAGAAGTGTTACTTATTCGTTTAAAAAAAATGGATTCCTTTATGGAAGTTCTTTACTAAATTTTAAGAAGCTCTATAGAACTAATTTATAGACAGTACTGTGCCCACTATTTGTTGCAATATGACAAGTATCTTGTTAACTTTGTTTTATATCAGAAAAATGTCAGTAATTTAGTGAAAATGAGTTATCAGTGTAGGGATTCTCATTAAACTCAAAGGTTTAATTTGTATAATTTCAGCAGATCATTTCACACTTTGAATACTGTCTTGAATTTTTTTATATCATTTTTTCACATAATATCTAATCATTCAGTTAAAGTGTACTTTCTGTGCAGTCAGATTACTAGGCATGTCTATACATGTTAAACTTAATTTTTTAAATACAATTCCAGAACTTTTAATTGAGATGAATTTTCATGCTTGTATTACTGTGAATCAGAAAATCTATCCACCAGTTTTTAAAATGTTAGTTTTGATTATATAATGATACCAGCTTGGCATTTTTAGTACAAATTTTGTATTTCCTCCCATTGTCTCTAGGATACTGCTATTGTTCATCCAGTTCCCATTCGCATGACTCCAAGCAAAATCCACATGCAGGAAATGGAACTGAAAAGAACTGGCAGTGGTAAGGAAGCTGTTGCCTGGTTGTATTTTAGTTTAGCATCAAACTAAAACACACGAGTCACTATTCTGTCAGGGCTCAGGTTTTTTTTCATAAGTGCTTATTTTTTATTTTTTTAATTTTTTAAAAAGATTTATTTATTTATTTACACAAGCACTGGGTACAGTCAGAAGTACGGGAGGGTGAGAGAATCCACCAGAGTCAGAGCGGGGAGCGGAATAGGCAGACTGACAAAATACACTGCTGAGGGGAGCAGCGGGCGGCAAGAGAGGTCTGCGCGCCAGGTGGGACCCTCACTGGCGGCTGGGGATCGAACCGGCGCTGCAGAGGCTGCAGCTTCACATCCCAGCACTTAACCGCTGCGCCACTGGAGAGGCCCAAGTGCTTATTTTTTAACAGTTCTTTCTGCACTTATACATGTATGCTTGTCTATTTTTATTAATTTATATTAGTTTTTAAAAGGAAATTACTGAATTTAAATTATGACGTTTCAAATAAGGATATTTGGAAAATATGACTTTTTTAATCCCCTGTGGGTTTTTATGATCACTGGTTTGAGCTTACATTTAAAATGTGTTCAAATTTTAGATGAAAAGAGGCATGTGTTAGAATAAATTTTAACTTGGAGATTGTATGTTTACTTTTTTAAAATCTTCATGTTTCTCCTCATTTTAGGTTAAATGTTTTAATTAGGACTAAAGGTAGATTTATTTTTTGTATAAGTCATATCATAAGTTACTTATTTTATAGCCATTTGTCTGGTGTTTAAGTAATTTCTTACAGTAATAAAATTAATGAGGTATGAACATGCAAACTGACCTTTTCATTATAAAATATCTTCTATTGTGGCAGAAAACAATCTGTATAAGAAGGTTTACATTTATTTTTTATTAAAAATAAAACTTTTTGTTATGTTTCATGGATTTACCCACTGCTTCTTTGAAATATCTAACTGAAGTGTTAATGTTATACTCTGATGTTTATAAGTTAATTCAAATACTTATATTCTGTATTTTTACCTATTAATTTTTTACTAGATCATACTAATCCTACTAGCCCGTTACTAGTGAAAACCTCTGACCTTTCAGAAGAAAATAAGATGAATTCATCAGTGAAATTTGCTTCTGGAAATACAGTAGGTAAGTGAAAGATAGTATTGCATGTTCCATTTGAAGTTTATTAAGTCTGGATTTAGAGTCTGAAGGATTCAAATGTATAACAATATTTAGTAGCATTTTTCCTGAGTAAAGTAGGGAGTGGTCAGCCCTTTTAAACACTCTGTCCTCTATATGAATACGTGGTTGCCCATTGCCACTTGGACCTGCTGCTTCAAGGCAGGCCTCCTATTTGCCAATCCTCTGGATTAGCCAGATTTAGTCCATGGTTCTTCCCCACTAACTCCTTTCTCTCACACAAGAAATTATTTATATATTCATTTATTTAACCTCTGTTAGTTAAGATCTATGTACCAAGCTCTTTTGTAGACACTAGACATTCCACAGTATCCAAACCAGAAAAAAAATTTTTTTGCCCTTATGGAGTTTACGTTCTTTTTTTTTTTTCTTTTTTTTAAAGATTTATTTTTATTTATTTATACAAGCACTGGGTACAGTCAGAAGCGTGGGAGGGTGAGAAAATTCACCAGAGCCAGAGCGGGGAGCAGAGCAGGCAGAAGGACCAAAGTACACTGCTGAGGGGAGCAGCGGGCGGCAGGAGAGGTCTGCGCGCCATGTGGGACCCTCCTCTGGTGGCCGGGGAGCAGCCGGGGATTGGACCGGCGCTGCAGAGGCTGCGGGCAGCTTCGCAATCCAGCGCTCAACCGCTGCGCCACCGGGGAGGCCCTGGAGTTTACGTTCTATAGAGGAAATAAGAGAAAAAAAAAATTTGAGTTATATATCTTAAGAAGTAATTAAAACCCTGGATAAATACAAAACTAGGGGAGGGGAAAGTGACATTTTAAATAATGTGGTCAAAGAAGGCCTTACTGAAAGACAATATTTGAATTAAAACTTAAAGGGGCCTCCCTAGTGGCACAGAGATTAAAGACACAGCACTATGAAGCTGTCTGCAGCCACTGCAGCATGAGTTTGATCCTGGCTGGCCAGGAAGATCACCACATGGCTCAGCAGACCTCTCCTGTGTTGCTCCCCTCAGCAGCGTATTTCAGTAAAAGTGCCTGTTCTGCTCCCCACTCAGTCTCTGGTGAATCCTCTCAACACCACCCTCCCTACACACACACACACACACACACACACACACACGCACACACACGCATGCACGCACGCGCGCGCGCGCACACACACACACCCCGGGCCTACCTAGTTCTTCTATGCATAAATAAGTAAGTCTTTAAAAAAAACTTGAAGGAGATGAGGAATTTGACAGTGATTATCTGCTGGAAGGACATCTAAGGCACAAGGTATATATGGCAAACGTCAAGTCCTGATTTAGGGAAGCACGCCTTATTTCTACTGGGAGATGGACAGAGGTAGCAAATGGTAGTGTATGGAAACTGGGAAGCAGTGTGTAAAACTGACTTACTCAGTGAGAAAAAAAGCTATTAGAAGATTTTGAATGAAGAAGTTACATAGTTTGACCTTCCTTTTTTTTTTATTTATTTTAAGATTTATTGATACAAGAACCAGGGAATAGGCCAGATGTGCAGAAGCGTGTCTTTGTTCCCTCACCAGAGACAGTAGGGAACAGAAAGAGCTGGCAGACTGATGAAATACACTGCTGAGGGGAGCAGCGGGCGAGACAGGCAAGGTCTGCTGTGCCATGTGGGTTGCTCCAGGGCCAGCGGGGATAGAACCGGCACTGCAGAGGCTGCGGACAGCTTCACAGTGCTGTGCTCAACCGCCTGTGCCACCAGGGAGGCCCTCAACCTTCCTTTTTAAAATAGGATTACTCAGGATGCTATTTTAGTAATAGATCAAAAGAAAGCAAGACTTGAAACAGGGAAACACCATTTTGGAGATAGTTATAATCCAGGCAAGAGAAGATGAGGACTTAGCGTAGTTGGTAGGAATGGAAGGTGCTGAGAAGTGGACAGATTTTGTAGGAAAAATCCAGAGGATTTGCTTCCATATGTGATATAATATGAAAGAAAAAGAGGGAATCAAGGGAGATTTGAGGGATTTGGGCCTGAACAACTGGGAATTAAAGTTAGGGGTAGGTTTCTGGGAGAAGAATAGAAGTTCAGTTTTGGACATCTTATGTTTGAGGTGCCCATTAGAACATCTAGATGGAATATTGTTAGTTTTAGCATCATTCTTGTACCACATGACTAATTTAGTGATTTCACAAGAAAAAGGAGAAAGGATGTATTTTCAAATGAAACTAAACCAGGACCTCCCTGGTGGCGCAAGGGGTTAAGACGCAACCTATGAAGCTATCCACAGCCTCTGCAGCACAAGTTCGATCCCCGGCCAGGGAGCAACCCACATGGCACAGCAGACCTCTCCTGACTCACTCCCTGCTCCCCTCAGCAGTGTATTTCCTTTGATCTGCCTGTTCTGTTCCCCACTCTCTCTGGTGAATCCTCTCACCCCCCGTACCTCTGGTCTATACCCCAGTTCTTGTATGCATAAATAAATAAATCTTCTTTTTTAAAAAGAATCTCAACAAAATAACCATTTATTTCCATTTATAACTCTTGAAAGTATATAGTAGTATTCTTTCAAATTGTTCCTAGAATTTCTGTTCTAAAATTTCTTTATTGCATGACAACGGTTAGTCTGCTTCTGGGATTCTCTACTCATTCATAAGACTTTGAAGAAATTGGAAATGATACTTCCTTAAGAGACAAATCAGGAATCTCTATTTCAAAGGTTTTATTATTCATATTTTATTCCCATATCTAATTTTTTATTTTTACATTAATCTGTATTTTTTCTCACATTTCACTCATTTGCCAATTTATGTATGTAACTATAATCATACATTTATGTAACTATATAACCATTTATGTAACTATAATCTAGGGAGCACAGCTTCATACCTCCATGGGTATATGCTTCTTTACTGCTCCTTCCCCTTGGGCCCCCTAGTAACCAGTATATATTTCACAGAGTCCAATAGTCATTTTTGCTGTGTTTACCAGATTGTTTTCTTTGGCTATTGATACCCACAAATGAATGAAACCATCTGTAACTATCTTTCACTTTTTGCCTTATTTCACTCAGCATGACCATCTTCAATTCCATCCATCTTGTCCCAAAAGCCACTATTTCATCTTTTCTTAATAGCTGAGTAGACTTCCATGGAGTAATAGTCCACAATTTATTTATCTTGTCTCCTTTTGATGGACATTTAGGTTGGTTCCATGACATGGTTATTGTGAATAATGCTGCAGTGAAGATAAGCATGCCAAAATCTTTTTGTATTCGTGTTTTCATATTTCTTTGAGCTGATACCTGTCTTTTTGATACAGGCCATTCTTACAAGGATGAGGTGATATCTCACTGTGGTTTTGATTTGCATTTCCCTTATAATAAGTCATGTTGAACATTCTTTCATGTGCCTCTGGGCCATTGAATGTCTTTGGAAAAGTGTCTTTTTAGGTCTTTTGCCCATTTTTTTGATTGAGTTGTTTCTTTGTTGTTGAGTTATAGTTCTTTATCTGTTTTGGAAACTAACCACACTGTTTTGATAACTATCGCTGTATAGTATAATTTGAAGTCAGGCAGTGTATTAACCATTTTTCTGCTTTCTCTTAGGATCAGTTTGGCTACTGCGGGTCTTTGTGGTTCCATGCAAATTTTTAACTGTTCTGTTTCCTTGAAAAATGTCATTGGAATTTTGATAAGTATTGCGTTGGATCTGTAAAATGCTTTAGGTGATATGTCCTTTTGAACATTTATTCTTCCAATCCATGAACACAGGTTATCTGTCTACTCCTTGTGTCTGATTTCCTTGAATACTTTCAATGTATATGTCCTTAAACCTCCTTTGTTAAGTTTACTTCCAGGTATTTCATCCTTTGTGGTGTGATGGTAAATGGGTTCCTTTTCTTAATTTCTCTTTCTTCTAATTCATTGTTTGCATATAAAAATGCAACGAATTCTGTGTATTGATTTTGTATCCTGCTACTTTCTAAATTTATTATTTATAGTAGGTTTTGTAGAATCTTTCATCTATTCCATGTATATTATATCATCTGCATCTAGTGATGGTTTCACTTCTTTTTAAATTTGGATTCTCTCTTTTTTTTTTTTGCCTAATTTTTCTGATTAGAACATCTAATACTATGTTGAGTAGTTGTGAAAGTGGACATCCTTGTCTTGTTGCTTTACTTTAAGGGAAATGCTTTCAGTTTTTCACTATTGAGTATGATATTGATTATGGATTAGTCATAGATGGCCTTTATTATGTTGAGACTCTTCCTTTAATTCTATTTTGTTGTTTTTATTATAAATGGATTTTGACTTGTAGAATGCTTTTTCAGCATTTATTGAAATGGTCATGTGATTTTTGTCCTTTTGTTTATGTGGTGAATGTCACTGATTGTTTTGCATATGCTGAACCATCCAAGAATCTCACTTGGCCATAAATGGGTAATTCTTAGAATATCAATATATTGCTGAATTCAATTTGCCAGGATTTTGTTGAAGATTTTTCCATCTATGTTTATTAGAGATATTGGTCTACAGTTTTCTTTCATGTGAAGCTGTGTTTATTTTGGGGTAAAGGTAAAGTTGATCTTCTGAAATGTGTTCGGGAGCTTTACTCCCTCATCAGTATTTTTTCTTTAAAGATTTATTTATGCATATAAGAAATGGGGTACAGGCCAGAGGTGCAGGGGGTGAGAGGATTCACCAGAGACAGAGTGGGGAGCAGAATAGGCAGACTGAATGAAATACACTGTACACTGCTGAGGGGAGCAGCAGGCGAGACAGGATAGGTCTGCTGCACCTTGTGGATAGCTCAGTGGCCGGCTGGAGTGCTGTAGAGGCTGTGGATAGCTTCACAGCGCTGTGTTTAACCCCTTGCGCCACCGTCTTCAGTATCTTTAAAGAGTTTGAGAAGGATATGTATGAGAGAAGCTTTGGTGAATTCACTAGTGAAGCCATTTGGTATTGGGCTTTTGTTCATAGAGAGGCTTTTACTTATTCTTATGATTTCTGTACTTTTGATTGATAAGTTCAAGTTGTCTCTTTCTGTTTTAGTTTTGTATGATTGTATGATTTCGTTTGTACAATTCTAAAAATTTGCTAATTTCCTATAGGTTGTCTACTTTGTTTGCATGTTAAACATAGTAGTCTCTTCTGATCATTTGTATTTGTGTGGTGTCTGTTGTAATTTCATGTTTTTCATTTCCTATTCATTTTATTTGACTTTCTCAGTAAGACTAGCTAAGAGTTTATCAATTTTATTTATTCTTTTGAAGAATCAGCTCTTGGTTTCATTCATCTTTTGTGTTGTCTTTTTGGTTTCTATTTTACTTCTACTCTAATTTTCATTATTTCCTTCTTTTTTAGTTCCACTTGTTTTTTTTTCTGCTTACTTTTAATGTAAATTTAGATTGTATTTTAAATTTTTCTTTTTTTACTAGTGTGGACCTTTATAGCTATGTGTTTCCCTCTTAATACCACTCTTACTTCAATTCCATGGAATCCAGTAGCTTGTCTCTTCATTTTCATTAGTCTCTCATTTTCATTGTCTCTTCATTTTCATCAGATTTTTTTATTTCTTTGATTTATTCACTGACCAGGAGTTATTCAAAAGCATTTTGTGTAGTCTTTGCATATTTATGATTTTTTTCCAGGTTTCTTTTTGTGCCTCATAGTTACACCATTGTGATCACAAACGATAGTTGGTTTTTCTATTATCATCTGTATCATCTGTTTTTAGACATGTTGTATGTCCCAGCACATGATCTGTCTTTGAAAATGTTACCCATACACTTGAGAATAATGTGTATTCATTTCTTTTGAAATGGAAAACTCTGTAAATGTTTATTAAGCACATCAGATTCATTACTACTTTAATATAACTATGTCCTTGTTTACTTTCTGCCTGGTTGATCTATCCATTGATATAAGTGGTATATTGAAATCGTGTACTGTTACTGTGCTGCTGTCAGTATGTTAATAGTTGTTTTATATATTTTGGTGCACCTGTATTGGATGTGTAACTATTAATTATAGTTACACCTTTTGGATGAATTGTTACCTTGATCATTATGTAGTATCTGTCTTTGTCACTGATAACCTTGTTTGGGTGAAAGTCAAATCAGATATGAAAATAATAGTTTCTGCTTTTAGTTTTTCCTATGCTGTTGACTTTAAATACTTTGCTCCAGCCTTTCACTTTAAGTCTTTGCCCTTAGATCTGAAGTAAGATTATTGAATGCGTAATATCTATCAGTCATGTTTTTTAATGGAATCAGTAATTCTGTTTCTTTTAATTAGTGAGTTTAGATTTCTAATGTTTAGAGTAATTATTACATGAGGCTTATTTACTACCATTCTTTTCTTTTTTGGTTGTTTTATCTTTGTGTTGTTTCTTTTTCCAGGTGTTTCCATCTACCTTTTCATTTGGGTATCTTTCCCTACTGATTTTCTCAGTTTCTTCATTTATTTTTCTAAGTATATTTGCTCTAGGTTTTTGTTTTGGTGTTACCATGAAGGTTGTATTAAACTTTCAGTGTCTAGAATAGTCTTTTTTGTGCTGATATCAACTCATTGTCATTTAACTAAAAAGATTCTTTTGTTTTCTACTCTTTAATGTTTTTGGTTGTTGTTATCCCATATTGTTCATTTTTGTGTTTCTTATTATCACTGTGCTTAAGGTCTTTTGTTTTTTCTATTTGTATAGAAATTGTTTCAGCATTTCTTAACAGCACGGGTTTGGTGGTTGTAAACTCCCATTAATTTTTCTTTCCTGGGAAAACCTTTATTTCTTTTTTTTTTTTTTTAAAGATTTATTTATTTATACATGACTGGGTAGTCAGAAGCGCGGGAGGGTGAGAGAATTCACCAGAGCCAGAGCGGGGAGCAGAGCAGGCAGAAGGACCAAAGTACACTGCTGAGGGGAGCAGCGGGCGGCAGGAGAGGTCTGCGCGCCATGTGGGACCCTCCTCCGGTGGCCGGGGAGCAGCCGGGGATCGAACCAGTGCTACAGAGGCTGCAGGCAGCTTCACAACCCAGCACTCAACCTCTGCGCCACCGGGGAGGCCTGGAAAATCTTTATTTCTGCTTCATACTTAAATGGTAACTTTGAAGGATATAGTATTCTTAGGTAGCAGTTTTTATTATATAGAATTATGAATATGTCACACCACCAGTACATCTTCGTCCCTGTAGCCTTTCTGCTGAAAAATATGATGAGAGTATGATCAAGAGTGCCTTTGTATGTCATGTGTTTGCTTTTTTCCTCCTCCATCAGCCTGTAATATTTTTTTCCTTATTTTTGTCATTGACCTTTGATAATTCAACAATGTGTCTTAGTGTAGGTTTTTGGCATGTAAAGACTTAAGTATTTTGTCTGCGTTTTGGACATCTACAATGTGTTTTTCTCTGGGATTTGAAAAGTTCTCACTATTATTCTTTTGAATAGGGGCTCTGCGTCCTTCTCTCTACACCTTCAGGATATCCACTATCTTTATGTTTCCTCTTCTAATGGATTCTGATATTTCATATAGAATTTCTTTAGTTTTTCTAAACCTATTCTCTTCCACTTATTTAGACATTTCTATATTATTTTTAAAATTCTTCCCTCAGCATTATGTAAGTTTACTTCATTTTTCATGACTGTTTTCAATTCATTCATAGTATTGCAGTCATTTCTGCTTGAGGATTTTGTTTTGCTTGTTTTTTTAGTTTTATTTTCATTGGTGAAAATTTCTCTTGATCCTAGATGTATTATGTCCTTAAATCTACCTTTCTGTGTTTAATTTTGAGTCTTGAACTTCACTGAACATCTTAATGATTGCTCCTTTGGACTCATGTCTAAGTTCCTCCAAGTTATGAGACTTGGATTCTGCTCTGTTGTCCTTTTCCATGCTGCATTGCCTGAATTGTGCCTTCTTTCACATGCCTTCTTCTTCCCCTCGCCTCTCTTCCCTTACTTAACACACCCCTCCCTTAGTAAGTGGCACTATGGCTTTTGTTTTGAAAGTAGGAGCCCAGATATCTTCAGCAAATGTTCAATTCTTGGATGAAGAGGTCACTTTTGGACTGGGAGCCTGTACTGCTATTTATCTCTCTCTGTGCAGTCCAAGTTCCTCTCTGTGCCTGGAACCTGTTTTCCTATATCTTTCTCTCAGTGTCTAAAGACCCACAGTTTGCAGCAGATTTCCTTTTGCCCTCAGGAGAAAAGTGTGGGAATTAGGAGGTGGTGGTACTCTGCTGTTACTTACACTATAACTCTGGGGCTGATGGATCTGTCCCAGAACCCAATTAGGAATCAGTACATCTTCTCACACTCACTTCAGAAGTTTGCTGTCAGATCCTGTGTCCTTCCCAAGTCTATTCATCTGTCAAGAAAGGCCACCACATTGTCCAAGTCCCCTGGTCCAAAACCTTGGCAAGTGACAGGTCATTCAGCAAGACAGATATGTGTCAATCCAAAGATGCTGGTAACGAGTTGGTGAGGTATAAATGTGATTTTTAAATTGTACTTGAAGGAGAGTTTACAGGTAGCGAGCTATTCTGCCATGTCTTGGCTTTGCTCCCTCTAATTTGTTCTTTAAAACATGACTTTTTTCACTATAAAAATAGTTTACAGTTGTAGAAATGCAATAAATAAAATAAGAAAATAGAATTATTCATAATCTCACTATTCCACAAATGACCAAAATTAACATTTATTGTCAAACCTTCATCCTCATTCTGAGCATAGTTATATTTTCATGCAACATGAATTTGTAATGTATGTGCTTTTATTTCATGTTTTTTAACACTTGTGTACCTTACTTTATTTCTAGCTTTAAATTTTTTCTAGATTACAACTTGTTCTCTCTGCATAATATTTTGTTGTATAAATTTGCCATAGTTTATATTTAATTTTTTAGTTAACACTGGTATGAACTGTTAGCCAGTCTTTGAGTATCTCTGATGTGGAAAAAAAAAAATTTTTTTTTTTTTTTTTTTTTGAGAAAATGTGAAGACATGATTATTATTAAATAGGATATATCTCATTTATCAGCAGATGGTTACAGTAGTTCAGACTCTTTCACTTCGGACCCAGAACAGATTGGGAACAATGTAACTCGGCAGAGGTCAGTATCTGTCAATAAAAAGCTTATCAAAATATTTCACTGCATTTTAATATTTTAAATTATTTAGTGGCAAGCTAAGATCATTTTCCTTTATACTTTATGTAAAAGATTATTTCCCACATTAAATAACTACTTGTTTAGTGCACATCATCAACAGTGCCATCTTTATTTTGATTGAATACTCGTATACCTGCTTGAGTATAATCAGCCAAGTTTGAATGCTTAAAAAGAAGAAAGACATGATCATGTATAAGAGTGTGAATTTTGCAGGTCTCATTCAGGAACGTCGCCTGATAACACTGCACCACCACCTCCTCCTCCCAGGCCACAGCCCTCTCATTCCCGGTCATCGTCATTAGATATGAATCGGACCTTTACAGTCACCACAGGTAGGGGTCCAAGAACCATAGTATATTTTATAATTTGATTAAAAGTACTTCAATTATACACAACTTTTTATCTTAACATTTCTTTTTTATTTGATGTTTATATGAAGGAAAATTTTGAATTTAAAAGATATCAAATGAAAGGGATTTTTTTAAATGACTATCTGAAACGTGTTTGAGTACAAGTGATAGAAAATAAAGCCTGAGAGATGGCAGAGAAATTTAGAAAGAATAATCTGCACAAAAGATATCATGAAGGGTTTGCTAATAGGTCTTAATTTAGCTGACGAAGGAGAAGACTCATGGCTTTGAGATTTCAACTGGTGGTATTTTAATAAGTCCATCAAAGTCAAAATTTAGGGGAGTGGGTGATGATGTTCTCTTTCGGACATTATAAGTTAGGAATGTGAGGAAATAGGAAAATAACAGGCCATTGCCATATAGGCTGTGGAAGATTGATGTGTTATTGGAGAATCTTTTACTTAGTAAAATGTTAAAAGAAAAGAGGAAATTCAATAACTAAAGAAATATGAGAAGAAAACGAAGAATGTAGTATTAGGGGAGCGAGAGGTAGCCTGAGAAGAATGCCTCATGCAATAGAACAAGAGAAATGATTCTGAGAAGGCCATGAAATCTGTCCTTAGGTCACCTCTAGACAGCCTGTAGGACAATACATACCTGCAGTACTTATCAAGCATTCTTAGAAATGCTTATCATTTGATCACATTCATTCAACATTTTAGTTCTAGCAAGGTAATTAAACATGTACTAAAAAGAAGACTCGTGTGTTCATGCAGGACAACAACAGGCTGGAGTTGTTGCCCATCCTCCTGCAGTGCCTCCAAGACCACAGCCCTCACAGGTAATTCTCCAGCATATTCATCACTAATCATCAGTTATTAAAGTTCCCACAATAAATTTGTCTGTTGGGTGTTTGATTTTATTCTAGAATTATTTTGAAGATCAGAAATTGCCTAATTGTCATTCTGAATGAACATTTAATTCAGGGAAGTTAAGTCTTATTTTAGAAGATAAGAATTCCAACAATGACTTGAGTTGTTTTTTGAAAGAGGCTTAAAAATGATAGTGTTTTGACAGAGGAGGGTTTAGTGGAAAGAACAGTGGTTTAGGAAATAGGGACATACTCATTTATATCTTGGATGTTATAGCTACTCTGAGTGACCTCACTACTTCTCTCTGGACGTCTCGCATCAGTAAAATAAGTGCTGGATAATTTCTGCAACCCTGCCAAGTCAAACTTGTTTTGATCTGAACAAAGCTGCTACGTTTCAGGATAGATTTTTGGATTGCAGCTGTTAAATTTACGTGACTGACTTTTATATGAAAGAGTTTGGCTGATTTTTCTGAGTTAGATTCTTGTAATGAAGTTAGTAGCAGTTAAAATTATTTAATCATAAAAGATAATGAATATTACCTAAATTGCCAACAAAAATGCTTTTACTGGTGTTAGACTGAAACTCAATGAGTTAGTCTCTTGACTCAAGAACCAGTTTCGTGGATAAGACAAATGTACAGACAGCAGTTACAGTAGAAGCATTAAAGTAGATATACAGGTATCCCCCACTTTTCAGAAGTTTTTGTTGTGCCAATTTCACTTTTATGTAAGACCCATATGAGTGACCTGATTATTTCAACCAAGAATTTTGCTTTTTTTTTTCTTCTTCTTTTGATGTAACATTGGCTTACAACACTATACATAATCTAGAAGTGTATGATCACATGCCCAGGTGTATATTACCATACTACACCCATCACCTAGGACTCAGTTCTCCACCATAGTCCATTGTACCCCTCTCCACCATGCCTTCTCTTTCCACAGCCCCCTCTGGTAGCCTCAGCCTCAGTCGGATTTTTAAGGTTTGTTGCTGGTTTGGTTTTAGCTGACCCTTTATTTTGTTTCTCTGTGTTATATTGTTATATATAAATGAAACCATCTGGTATTTTGTCTTTCTTTTTCTGACATATTTCGCCTAGCATAATCCCCTCTAGATCCATCCACGTTGTCACTGATGGCAAGAGTTTTATCTTTTTCTTTTTTTTTTTTTAATAGCTGAGTAGTAAGTATTCATGATCTATATACATCACACCTTCTTAATCCACTCACCTGTCTTTGGGCCCTTAGATTGTTTCCACAACTTGGCTATTATTAATAGGGCTGCAATGAAAATTGGAGTGCATATATCCCTTCAAATTAGTGTTTTTGTATTCTTCAGGTAAATACCTAAGAGTAGGATTGTGGATCATATGGTGATCTATTTTTAATATTTTGAGATATCTCCATACTCTTTTCCATGGAGGCAAATCAGTCTACATCCTCACCACCAATTCATGAGCGTTCTTTTTGTCTACATCCTCACCAATACTTGTTGTTTAGGATTTTTGCTTTTATAACAAAAGTTGTAAAGTGAAATAATGTTCAGGCTGCTTTGCAGCAAGTCATTCTAGAAGCTGCACCCAGCACCACCACTAAGCTTCTTGCCAAGGAACTGCTTTATACAGGCTGTGTATTTAACCATTCTTGCTTTTACTGTGTGTCATGTTATTTTAGGTTTTATGTATTACATGGTATGATTTGGTAGGTTGTTCTTTGGATCTGCAAATGCTCAAAAAAATTTCCATACAAATGATTGGTAATTGCTTCTTTACTTTAGACTACTTGGTTTACAAAAGTTTTTACGGGATAACTCTAACTTTCTGATGGCCGGGTATATTTGTATTTATGAAACACTTTGGCTAACCTTACTAGCTAGTAAAGTTATGGATCAGATTGAAAAGGAGTAAGTAAAATGAGGGAAGTAAGACTTGCGCAGAGAGTTGAGGGAAGTAAGACTTGCACAGAGAGTTGAAAAATAAAATGGTATTTCTTGAGGAGGGAGGCATCCCAAACTGAAGGAGTGGCATCCACAAAGCCAGAGAGGTGTAAGCTGCCATATCCTCAAGTTCAGTACAACTCAGAGTAATGGAAAATGAAAATAAAAAGAGGTAAGGAAAAGTATATTCTTTGTCATGCTTAGGACAGAATTTTTCTTAAAGAAGATGGAGAATTTTAAAAGAGCAAAAGGGAAAAGATTTCAAAGACTTAGAGCATCCTATACTTCCTTGGTCATAAAACTTCTTACATTGTACTTAAATTCCTTGTTTACTTCTTATTCTTCATTAGAATTCAGTGTTATTAGGGCATGGATCTTATTTGTATTACTCACTGTTATATCCAGCTACTTGGCCAAAAGTAGATAACTGAATAAATGTAATTTTCAATTGTAGATTTTAGCAAAATTGTGCTCTGTGTACATCTTGTATATATTAAAGGGAAGCACATTGAAGTTGGAAAAATAGTTAGAATAGTGGTTTTCACACTTTAAAAATAAGCTTTTCTAGAAATATAATAAAACATTTTTAATGACTTGTTTAATCAACAAATTATTATGCAGTAGCCCAGTTAAGAAAATAATAGATCAAACTGAGAATCAGAGTCAGATCTTCCCCTCTCTGATGTAATTTCTTAGCTATAATAATTTTATAAAAGTATCTTTTTTATTAGAGGTTTGTCATCTTTATTTTTTTATTAGTATTTTAGCATTTCATTTACAGGTATTTTATTGCTAAATATTAATAGCTAAATATTCCCTACCTCCCTGAATCTACAGATAATAAAACAGAGCACCTGTATGATACCATTTCAAAGGAGGAGGATACCCTGTGACACTAATTCACTAATGAAATGTTTCAAACCATTTTATAGGCTCCTGGTCCCGTTGTGCATCGCCCAGTAGATGCCGATGGCCTAATAACTCACACTAGTACCTCACCTCAGCAGATACCAGAACAACCAAATTTTGCAGATTTCAGCCAATTTGAAGTATTTGCTGCATCAAATGTAAATGAAGAACAAGATGATGAAACTGAGAAACATCCAGAGGTCTTGCCGGTCAGTTTTCATGAGCTTATCCCATTTTTCTACTGGGAATCTTTACCCACATCACACTCATAGAGTGTCTGTAAACAGAGGAACCCCTAAAAGAATATATAGCAGAGGGGACATTAGTGAGTAAAGTATCCTCTTTAAAAGGATTTATATTCCTTAGGTCAGTGCTTCTCAATGTTTTTATTCGCCACGGCACCTGCTGGTTGTAGTCTAATGCTTAAAAAGATTCAGGATCTTGGGTGGCAGTAACATGTGAATAGACACACACCATCTGGTCCTGGCTAAAACACAGCTCTGGGGCAGCATCTTAATGCTGATAAGCATATGGATTGTGTGATTTGGGTAGACTTCTATGTAATAAGAGGCTATGGTAACCATGGCAATGCTCAGTATGTATGCAAGTTGACAAGTCACTTTCGTTAACAGGCTTACAGACCACAGGATGCCAAAAACTATTCTTTGGAGACAGTGTTTCAGAAGGTCGTTTGGTTCTAGAGGCAAGACCTTCTCTAGGGATCTGTGACCTCACCAAACATAAATGTGGAGTTGGAAGGGCCAGAGGAATTCTAAAACCTCTGTTCTCATTGTCTCCACTCATCCTGAGCCTCTTAAAAATCCATGTTATTTGACAGGCATAATTTAGATAAAGGTTTCTTACACATTTTTCTATTTCTTTAAACCTGTAACTTTCTACTGGCCCTGGAGCAACTAAGGGAATGGACAGCACCTTCAAGAAGGCAGGGATAGTTCTGAAGGGAAGTACAAGAGTACACAGCTACAGATACGCACATTCCTGGGTGGACACATCCCCTCCCCCACCTCAAGAATTTCCCAGTCTGTGCTGCAGCTGCATCCTCAGCTTTCTCCTGCCCCTCAGAGATCTGTTATCTTCCTTTCTTTCTACTTTTGAGTAGTAGAAAATTGTCATTTTACAAGGCTTTTTCCAATTCCTTCTCACCTTCATCTCAGATTTATTATTTTCATAATGAATACTTTATTATATTTTATGCATAATTGTATATTATATGTAATTAGTAATGATAATGTATTCACCTATAGGTTGAAAAAACTTCTGATCCTGCAAGTTCTCTTCGAGTTGCCAAAACAGAGAGTAAAATTGAGGAAAAGACAGCTGCTAGTGCTCCCGCCAATGTGGTATGCAAAACGTCTTTTTAAATATTGATCATTTTGTACATATAAAGATTATGAGATCTTTTTTTGGGTAAGATTTTAAATACCTTAGAAAGTTAACTAGGGCTCATTTGACACATTCCACTGCCTGTCTCTGAACAAGATCTACCTATTTACAAATTCTAGGAGGTGATAGTCTGTCATTTATATGCTACAGTACCACAGGTTCTCAAAATTTATGTGATTGTATTCTTCCAAATATAGAAACTAGAACTTTTTCATTCATCAAATTTGGTTTTATTTATTGTAGTCTCTAGTGTAATGGGGAAAAATAATTAATTCACTAAGGTATTATTCTGTTTTTTTTTTTTCTTTAACTGTTTTAGGGGTAATTTTTCCCCACTATTTCATTATGAACAATTTTAAACATACAGAAAAGACAGAGAGGAATTTTAAATTGTGTGTCAGTAAAACCACATCTTTATTGTGCCATTAAAATCTTACTATATTTGCTTTAGCAGGTTTCTCTCCATCCTTCTATCACTGTTAATGTGTTTTATCTGTTTTATGCATTTCAAAGTAAACAGATATCAGTAAGCTTCCCCCTTGAGTTACCATCCAGATATTTCCAGTAGTTATTGAAATAGCATATGTTTCTAAAATTGCTTAAATATTACCTTCTGAACAATTGATTTTTTTACTACATTGGTGACTCTGTGGTTTTTTTAACAGTGAATTTTATTTTTGCATCTCACAGAAGCAAATTTAAAATTTAACCAAAACAGTTGACTCATTCTTATTTATTAACAGGTCGTTTTAGGTTATGATAAATACCCGAAAATGTCATACTTGATTCTCTTGCAGGCAGGTTCATCATTTCCAACAAAATGTCCACTCATTTTCAAGATTAAGTGTGTATCTTAATGAGTTTAAAAATTGCCTAGATTTCCACTTCTTTATAATATGTTTTATTCATTAAGATAATATACCTTAGTATTTTTGAGTAGGAAATTATGTGGTAAGAATGCCTATTTCTAGAGACCTCCTTTTTTATTTATTGAACCCATGTTATATACTCAGGATGTATCATGTTAATATTAAACTGGGTTTTACACTCTTGAATCAGACTCAGGCCTCAAAGAGCTTATGTTACCATTTTTTAAAAATTGTATGGTAGGTATATTCACAATTGTGATGTCAGCTAATGGTGTTCTTCCCATTGTAATTTCAGTTAGCTGTTGCCACATATAATTTTAAAGTAGGAAAAGTGACTCAATTTTCAGAGAGAAAGCAGCTTAAAGAAACAAATGATGTTGGCAGAGTGCTGACTAACAATGAATGTCTTCAAGAAATGTTCATTATCAGTGGAATTCCTGTCTTATAGAGCAAAGGCACGACACCTCTTGCTCCACCACCTAAACCTGTTCGAAGAAGATTAAAATCAGAAGATGAATTAAGGCCAGAAGTCGATGAACATACACAAAAGACAGGTGTCTTAGCTGCTGTTCTTGCATCACAACCTTCTATTCCTAGGTAATCAAAGCTATTGCTAAATACATTTAATTACTAGGAACAAAAAATCAAAGCAATTAAAAAATATCAAAATGAAAGAAATTATGGTTCGACTAGTTCTTTAATTGAGCAGTGGCTTGTAACTGTTCCTTGTTGAGAGCTTCCTCACTTTTGAGTAGGTAGAATATTCTTCACACTTTTTCCCCTTTTATTAAGTTTAATTCCTGTTTCACTTTAATAGCTTATTGCAAACCCAGAAGCAGACTTTTAAAAATCAATAGTGTCCAGTAACACCAATCATTTAACTGTGTTTAATAGTTCTAGACCAGAAGTCAGCAGGCTACAGCTCATAACCACATTCAGCCTGTTTGTGCAAGGCCTTTGAGCTAAGAATGGCTTTTAATTTTTTGCAAACAGTAAAAGAGAGAACAGTCACCTATAGATAGGTATTTAAGAGGTAAGGGCAACCTCAGAAATTTCTTTGCCATGATTAATATAAATGAATCATTTTTGGAATGCCAAAAGTTAAGCTGCACAGATGGGATTTCACTCAGGAATAAATGAACTTTTAAATTAAAAAAGAGAGAGAAGAGAAGACTGAAAAAGAAAAAATAAACAAAAACAAAAATATCCTTTGGAAACTTTATGGCCTGCTAGGCCTAGACTGTTTACTAATATTTGCTACTGACCATAAACAGCAAGTCTGTAGATTCTTGTTTTAGACTCAAACTAGGGATTCTACTGAAGAATAATTAAAACAACAAGAATTACACTTCCAAAGCTTAGATACTGTGGTTCCCCATTGGTGCTGCGCAAAAAGAGGTTGAGCTATGCTAATATATAAGGTGAAAGACTATCTTCCTCTACTTTCTGGATTTAAAAATAGATCAGGGACAAATGGAGAGAACTTAAAAATTTTAAAGAATTTAAAGATAAGAAATGAAGGTTCTGGTTTTTTGCTTTCTTTATTTTCTTAGATCTGTTGGGAAAGATAAGAAAGCCATTCAGGCATCAATTCGACGCAATAAGGAAACCAACACAGTTTTGGCCAGATTGAATAGTGAATTACAACAACAATTAAAGGTAATGTCATTTCTGTGGGAATTCCCATGGACTCACAGCATCTGAGTTGAACAGGAACTTAGAGGTCATCCAGCAGTTCTTAGACTTATATGAAACTTTCTGTGTAGCAAGAGAAATGTAAAATCTTTTGTAAGCCTTTGAACCTTAATGGTAAGAAGAATTTTTGTACTCAATTCTGTTATGCATTGCCTTATTCTACTTATAATAAGGCATCACTGGTCATATAATACTCCTTTTCATAAAGAAAACCAAGAGAAAAAATACCATGACTTCAGATACTCCAAGATCACATACATACATCACATACATGCATGGCTCTCTACACTATTTAATTGAGATGATTTGAGTATTGCTAGTTTATGCATTTATCAAAGACAGCTCAAATACTATTATAGGGAGTTTAAACAGGTCTAAAAGAAGAGGGATGGCAGTAATTTAGATTACCTTGCATTTGGAAGAGAAGTCTTAAAGAAAGAAATGGTGCTTATGATTTATGTGTACTCCTGTCATTTCTGTTGGGGAGGAATGGGTTTGTTTTTCCTACTTACTGCTAACCATGATTTCTCTACATCCCTATGAATAAAAATTATAACTGGAATCACATTATTCACCAACATTATTAAGCACTCAAGGCTTCTAAACTAGTAGTTCTCAGACCTTTGTATATACACAGTTAATTTGGGATTGTGTGAAAATGCAAATGGTGATTCATATTAGCTATGGAATGGGGCCTGAGAAGTCTGCATTCCAGGGACTGGTGCTGCTACTTAACTGTTAACCCCACTTTTGACTATCAGTGTGGTACACCACAAAAATGAGAAGAGTCCATACAAATATAGAATGTTTGGTAGTGTCAGTTTATTTCCATAACACTTGTTCATATCCTTCATCCACACTCTCTTGGATTTATTGTTGATGGCATATTTATCTCTCTGTCCTTCTAAGCTGAACTCACTGTGGATAAAACATAATCATTTCTGTTTAGAGTGACCATATAACATATTGTCCTGGCCAAGACACTTCTCAGGGAAAAGGGGAAAAGATGTGTGAATATTTCAGCCAAGACTTTCTGGGTAAATTGGGACTATCCTGTATAAATTTGTGACCATCATGTCTCTAGCCACAAAACCTAGCACATGGTATGCATGGTATGGATTTGATAAATACCTGTTGAATGAATGACATTCTTGTATAAATCAAAGAAGGTATTTGTAGCTGTTGAGTGAGTGAAAATTTGGTCATAAGAAGACTCTATGAGATGAAAATTAGTTATTGTGTGCTTTTCTGAAGAGCTGGGGAAACCCATAGAAAATATATATGCATGAGTCTTTTTAAAAGTTACTTTTCTCTGAGAACAAAAAGACAGTACAGACTTAGAGAACAAAAAGGAAGTACGGTCCTAAATTGAAGAAGTTCTGTTAAAATACAACACTATTCGTATATTAGAGAAAAAGGGAAAATAGAAGGTAAATTAGAATTTGGTGGCTATCTAAAAAGACTGCTCAAAATCAATAGTGATTGGAAATTTTTATTGCAAAGTAAATATATATATATTTTTTTTTTGTGAAACTGAAACTCAGCATGAGATTTGGGAGTTGCTATGACCAGATGTAGTCACCAGGGGAAAAAAATCTTTTAACAGATTTATCTGCAGTTACTGCCAGAGTGTGGGCTCTAGGCAAAGGTTCATGTATTTTTAGCCATCATTTGTAAATACTGACTTTTCTAATAAATAGAGAAAAAATATTTTATTAACCTAATTTATGTAATAAGAAAATAGGTTTTAATTAAGATATTTTTGATATTACACATATAAAGAAACTACCTTCTAAAGTCAAAATTTAAAAATATGAATAGCTGTCCTTTGTTTTCACCACAAATTTAAATTATTTTCTTGATGCAGGGGCTGTTTTAGATAAGCTTTCCTTTTTATAATCTTTGAAAAATAACTTGGCTTTCACATCTTTTTCAGGATGTTCTTGAAGAGAGAATTTCCCTGGAAGTTCAACTGGAACAACTTCGACCATTCTCTCATCTATAAGCCAATTGCCGTTAACTGTGAACATACCCATTTTTAAGTGGTTTTGGGTTCAAAGCCAATTTGGAGACCCAAACATCAGCTCACTGCTTAATTCATCGTTAAATTTTATGATTCTGTTTTGCCCTATATGTTCACCATTGTATTTAAGTATCTTTTATTTTTTAATTTCAACAATAAAAGGGTCAGGATGACTTTTTCTGGAGGGTACATTGTGTTTGTTGGCACAGTCCACCCTTGCTATTCCACAGCATTAGGAGTACATACACTGATTCACTGTGCTGTGTGGCAAACCTCACACCAGCTTGATTTACCTACTGGGCTTCTCAATGACATCTCGAGCACAGATTCAAAAATCTTTGCAAAGGAGGACAAAATTAAATGAACTATCCATTGTCTTTTAGGGTTCATGATTTACAAATGACATCTACATTTGCTTTATGAAAAAAAATCTTCAAAATGAGTTTCCTATTTAATTTTTCATTTAAAAGGACTATATCGGATAAGGAGTCTAACCATAATCTCTACAGAAATCACCATTCTTCAGCAGTCAGGTGATAACTTCTCAGACTTTTCCATGTCAATTCAGGGGTCAATTATATTTTCCTTATGAAAATTTGATCAATATCACTAGTGACTTAATATTTTTGTGTGTGAAATTTTAATTCAGCAGCTGTAGGAAAATAGCCCTTTCTTATTTGTTCCCTAGTAGTGAATGGAAAGTGTCAGAACCCCAATGTAAATACTGTCCCACTTGAAAACATCACTCCTGGCATGATTTATGTGCGTAACTTTCAGAAGCTTACGCCAATCTCTACAGAGATTTATTTTCAAATAATATTTTTGAACTTCTCAGAATATTATTTATAGAATAAATTGAAATTACTTAAGATTTCTAGTTTACTTTCAGCTGTCCTGTCACTCATTCTTTTGCCATGTAGACAGGTTTTTTTTCCCATGAACAAAGCATTGTTGAAGTGCGCGCTACTCAGAATCCTCTCTTAGAATTTCTTTTATGTAATGTTAATACACATTTTGATCACATTTGTAAATTTGCATGTGTAGCTGACTAACAGACAGTTAATCCTTTTATGATGTCTGTGTATGGGATCATAGATGTCAGACTGCATGGTGATGTCATAACATGATCAAAAGTGGTTTTACATGAATAAAACAGCACAGTATTTTAATTTATATTTTTCAAAAGAATTAACACTTTTAAGAATTAAAAGAAATTTGTATTTTAATTGTGGAAAGAAGAAAATGTTTAAAATATCCAAGTTCACAATCCTAGACTGTGTTAGTAGATTTTGTAAGAGAATTTGAAGCCGAAAGGAACTGACAACCAAAAGCTTCTAAGACTCATGCTTTTATCTACCATTAAATAAGTAAAAATACTACTACATATATCAGGTAACGGTTCCAAATAGCAGGTTATGAATGAAGACTGAAGACCCAAAAAACTACTGAACATCTATTTTGCTGTTTCTATTTCAAAACAGAACTGTCTTGATTTTTTCATTTTGTACTCAGCTGAATTGCATTACAAGCATTTCCATTTTTTTAAGTTTTTTCCCCAAATAGCCTACTAATTTAACAGTGCTATAAACTTTTAAAGCTTCTTCTGAGATCTTAATTTTGTAGTTAAAGAACACTTAGAAATTACAGAAAACCTTTTACCATTGGTAGTAGTTCAGTTTTAATCCTCTCCCAAAAAATACACTCATTTGAAGAATATATATGACAAGCTTTGATTAACTTGTCATTTTTATTTCTTAATATTTTTTAAATCAGTATTTTATGAAAATGTTAAAGAAGACTGATAAATCACCATCAAATTATAATAATTCTAGACTGGTCATGTAAGCAACTTTATTCTGGTTTTATTTTACATTGGCTCACAAGACAAAACTAATTCATAATATACTTATTTATATCTTAGGTTTCATCATGTTAAATTATAATGTCCATGAAAAATAACTACTAAAAGAAGTGGTTTAAATTTTTGGACTCAAATTTTTCTTAATGTACATTTTACGTAGTTGAGCAGAGATGACAAAGTTGAAAAGTTAGGAGGAACCTTATGGATCATCCTAGTTCATCCATTTCCATCATCCATGACAAATCATCGTGTTTTTTACTGGCTCTTCAGAACAGAAAATACACAATGTGTGTCTCTGTCAGGGAAAACAGAAAACTATGTGTCACCTTGATGGCACCTCGATGTTTTTAAGTCGAGTCACATTTCTCCATACTGCTTCTGATTGCATTTTGGAGTACTGACAACCATAGGAATTTATCATCGTAAACCTCTGTGGCACAAATCCATTCACGTTTTGGACCTTGAAGAATAAACGCATTCTTGATATCTGTGAAAACATTTGAGGTACAATAATAAATATTTGCAGGTAACAGTCAAAAAAGAGTGTTTTTAAGTTCAAGAATTGACTAAGTCATCTTTAAATTTTTTTAAAAGAAGTTCAAATACCCAGTTTAGAATATAACTTCCTTCAATTACTGAATAGTTCAAAAATAATCTAATTGTGCCTTTATATTGTATTATTTAGTTATAATTAGCAATTACTTTTAAAGACTGATAGATCATGCAGTGTTCTTTAATTCCTTGTCTTGACCACTCCAGGAGGAGCTGGAATCAGTAAAGGTCATTATTAATAGTGATTCTAGATAGAGATGCTGGGAACTAGACATGGAAAATCTTGGTGTGAGGACCAATGACAGAATTAAGCCAATTTAGCAGAATACCCACAATCTATAGGTTACATAACAGTGTTTTGACATGGGACAGAGATGATTTAGGGGAACTGAAAGGAGACATTTCATATACTATACCAAATGGTTATAGGTAACTAACCCATTATACCTGAGTTTGTCCTCTGTGTAAATATTCCTATACTAGGTACCTGTTTTTTTTCTCAGGCTCAGATTTTAAAATGAAATTATTGAGCAGCTTTCTTGAGATGAGTTTCTCCAGTGAGATCTTGGTTCCAATTTTAACCTTAACTCCTTCACACAGTGAAAAATGCTGGAATGTGAAGTGTTATATTCAGATTGTCTGGCCTAACAAATACAGGAAAGATACAATGTGAGCATAAGACTGTGGCACTTCAAAGAACTATGATGTGGAGTCATGCCTCCTGTGATTTTGAAAGATGTTCCTAATGTCTAGGGTGTGTGTCTGACAATGCCAGTAGTCTTTGCAGTATTTCAGAGGTGCTGGGTGGAAGTTTACAGTAATGAAGTCCTAATATTGGGGGAACTATTTGCAAACAGGCCAATTATGGTTCTAGACTTATTCCTACTTTTCCATGTATTAATTGTTAGTGAGCTTTATATAATACACCTTTCTAAATACTTAACTCTTAGGAGGAAAAGCATACATACACTTGGAATCTGGAATATCTTCAATGAGTAAACTATGCAGGGCCACTGATGCGATGAACTGGTAAGTTGATTTTGAACTTCTTTCAAATGGAGTATGAGATGTGCCCCGGCTGGAAACAAGTAGGGCATCGTTGAAGAGGAAAAGACTGAGGTCTCGGGTATGTTCATAGAGCCTGTGTTATGATGGAGAAGAAGCAGTTTTAGCAGTTTTATGTACTTCCATATGTGCTCGCACACAATTCAGCATCACAACAGGCCAATAATCGAGACTTTGCCCCCTTTGCAAGGCTCGTCCAAGTTCTGGGAACGATTTTCCTCCTGGTGTGAAGACTTCCTCCTGTATCTCTCAGACCAGTACTGTGGGTGGGCCTCCAGTGGCCTGATGGATGGTTTGAGCTTGCCCGTTGAGACAAGTATTCTGTCAATGTGGGGGAAAGGAATGTTGAACCTGTCTTCCTTTATGACATAGATGATGTTAAAATTGTATTTTTAGGCTAATGTCACATTTGGTATTTTGTGTTTGGTATGTTTGGCAATCTGGAGAAAATAAGTTTTGCTTAATCTTTAAAATTTACAGATGGGGGAGGGAAAAGCAGAACCAATGTGGCATAAGGTCAAGAAAAGCATTGCACTTGCTATGCATAAAATAGGAGAATTTCTAATTTTGACTGGAGGGCAAAGGATCATCAATATGAAAGGGTTAGAATTAAGTAGCTCTTCATTTTCACTGTGGTTGCTCCTACGGTGAATTGTGGGCATATTTATAGATGGGCAAAATTTTCCCCAACCACCATCCGTTCTCATTTGCTTTTTTATTGTGGGGTCCAAGTTATAGGTTTCTCTGTACTCTAGCATCAAGTGATGATAAGGAGGAACTTGGGAAGATGCACCACACCCCTAAGTGTAACAAGCTTGATATTTTGATGGAGAGTAGCCAAAGTTTGTTTTCTCTTAGAAGCATCAAGCAAACCTCAGGAAATTAAGGAAGGTAGTCAACTTACTGACTTTTGTCTTCACCATCGTTGTTCAGCTTTTAAATACTAAGTTTAAGTCCACATACAGCTTTACATAAATGTTAATATTAATCTGTCCTATTGCCTTTTTTTTTTTGTGTACTTTCATCACTTCACTTTTTGCTTAGCTTTCTCCTCCCTCTACTCAGATCACCGACAGTACTGAACTGGTACCTGTCTTTCCATTTTTTTTAACCAGGTCAGGTAGTCACACATATGTACATATTTGCACATCTATTTATAAATAGGTTGCCATTACTTTACAAAAATGGTAATAGTCACACCTTTTCTTGCTTTTCTCCTTTAGCAGTGGAAATCACTGAGCTAACTGGTATGACTTTCATTCTTTATCATGGGATGGATGGACCATCCATTCATTATTCAACTCTTGTGCTTTTGTTGGGAGTTCCCCTTTTGGTGGACATTTGTTTAGAGACTTGAGTCTCTACTAGCTTCTTCCCTCTCTCTCACCCTCATTTCGTTTGTTCTTTATTGTGAATGTAAGCAATGTTGGAATAAACTCATCCTTACTTGTGAACAAATTCCTTACATGTACTCTTATTTCTATCAGGCTTCTTGAGGTTAGAACTGATTGAAGGATCTGTGTATTTTTTCAAAGACTTCCAGATTGTTCTCCATTAAGTTGCTATAAATCACATTTGAATCCACTTTATTTGATAAATGCTCTGACTTACACATACTGCAGATGTTAATGCATATCTGAATTACCTGGAAATTTTGCTTAGATGTAAATTCTTAGTACAACCAGAGCACCTGAGCTATATTTCTAA